AATTCGGACCTCCCCGTATCACCCGCAGACTGACGGAATGGTCGAGCGCCTGCATCGCACCATTTCGTCAATGATGGCACAGCAGGTCTCAGATTCACAGACTGATTGGGACCTGCATATTCAGGGGGTCTTGGCGGCATACCGGATGGCACCCCATGCAGCTACGGGATTTTCCCCCTTTTACCTCATGTACGGTCGCGAACCCGACCCGCCTGTTCGCGCCCAGCTGCAGATCCCCGACCCGCAAGGAAAAACTGAATTGGCTGACCACGTCAAATTTAATCTGGCCAAATTAACAGAGGCGCGGGATGCTGCGATGTTGAACTCAGACCTCCGTCAAAAGGCGAATGAGCGCCTCAGGCTGGGTCGGGCGCACGTGATACAGTGGAAGCCGGGGGACAAGGCATGGTTGCACTGTCCCCAAGTGCCCCTGGCTACCTCCCCTAAGCTGGCGCGGCCGTGGCGGGGCCCTGTGGAAGTGGTCGAGGTCTTGCGACCACAGTGCGTGCGCATTAAATGGGGGAAGCGGCGATGGTTCGTGCACCCCTCTCGGTTGAAACCCTTCGTTGCGGTACACAAACCCACTTCACACATGCGTGGCCAGACGTGTGGGGGGTCGACCGACTCACTGGGTCCGTCTCCGCCGTGCTCACCTAATGCCTTGCCGGCCGTGCCACCTCCAGGTGCATCGAGACTGACGGGCTCACGCCCGACCACCCCTTCTGGGGATACCAACGGTCACGCGGCATCGGAGGAGGTCCCACTCCGGGACGGACAATTGCAACCTGACGGTCCGCCACCCGGGGTTGCCCCGTGTGAGGGGCCCGCTGCAAGGACGCGCGCAAAAATGCGCAGACTGTTATGAGGCCGGAAGAAATTGTATATAGGTTGTGTTCATTGTGTGTTGTGTGTATGGTGGGTTCCCTGCAAATTGTATATAGGTGTTTTTCTTACGGAATTCGTATTTATTCAAGGGGGGGGTGCGTCGGGTTGTTTTCTCTTCTTGCTGTTGCATTTTGTTGTGTTCTTGTTCTTGTTGAAAATTAGTGAGGCACACGCGCGGTTACGGTATAAATTCATTTTTTTATTGTCATTTTGTATGTTGGCAGCCGGGACGGCTGCAAGCTATGCGGGGGGGGGGTGATGTAGGGGTGTTAAAGAGAGGGCCCGTTATGTATGGCAGTCTATGGGAAACAAACACAGTGGGCGGGGCTACGTGTGTGCACAGGGAGATGCCCTCTGCGACGTCCGAGCCAGACACCCTGGGGGGGGCTGGTTTGGCGTTATGATCCCCCGGAGCCCCACCCCTCAAGGAGGGTTGGGTATAAAAGGGGACGTTATAGGGGCTCGAGTCAGTTATGTTATAAGTTAACCAAGAAGACTGAAGACGTCTTAGATAGAGCCCTGGACTCCCCTCGTTCGATGTCCTTATCAGGGCCGAACAGGACTGAGCCAGCGGCGTGGTCCCGAAAGCCAGAGCCGGTGCTCTTCTAAGAGCTGGTCTGGGACTCCGGGTACCGGGCCCGACTTACCAGTGTCGGGCCAAGTAGCCTCCCCTAGCCAAATAGTGGAGGACTGTGAGGCAGGCTAGGACTAGCTAGGACGTGTATCCTTAGCTAGTCGGGTGAGGGGGCCGATACCCCCTCCAGTGCTGTATGTCACATACGAGCTGTGTTAAATAAATATCCGTGTGCCTCAACCTCGGCGTCAAGTGTCTTCACCGGTACTTCACTAGCGCCTGCATGCGAGTTAATTTTAGCGATGAGTTTAGCAATGTTACAATTAACGTATAAACTAGGCATGTAATGAGTCACTCCACGCCCTCTTGATTGGATGATTTGTCATGATATGGAAAAAGCAGAATGTCTTATTTTTTTCTCCTTTGTAACACTTCTCTTTTTAAAGTAATGTTTATTCAGTTGTGTCTGCTCCATGAGTGGTGTAATAAGCACGGGGGGCAGTGACGTAGTGGTCAGCACCCAGCGATCCGAAGTTGATTCCCCGACACAGCTAACATCCCGTGGTCACATGTGAACTTGTCCTGGGCTTTCTGCTCGCATCAACCAGCACTGACCAACATGGTGAAGTATCTTATTGGTTCTTTCGGTAAAGTCACGTATAAGGGAAATAATAAACATAATAAAATACAATTCTCACGACGTATCGGCCACAACGCAAGCAGCCGTCCTCAGGTGAAGAACAGGGCTGTCGGAAAGACCCTGTCTTTTGTGGCTGAAACGTCGTGAGAATTGTATTTTATTATGTAAAATTTTTATTATTTTATTATTTCCCTTCTACGTGACTTTACCTAAAGAACCAAGAAGATGAATCCCTGCAGTCACGAAAGCTTTAAATCGAAATGGTGAAGTATGTTCAAACATAACCCCATGACCTACATGGCTTCGGAACGTAAAGCACTAGCATATTTGCTTGCAATTTTCATATATTGTAAATGATCGATTCTCAAAGTAACTATTGCCATCCTTGCGTGACTGCTATCACAAACTATCATCATTGGTGTGCCTACGTTGTTATTGGCAAATGCTTTAATGCATGTATCATGAGCAATAAAAAATATTTTAATCGAGAAATCAAAGCACTGCTACATGCTGAACACCAGCCTTTGAGAGTTGTCAAATCTAATGTAGGCTTGAATAAAGAATTAAAATGTTAATAATGCTATTCGGCAAGAATCAACATCTTAAAGATCCATTTCTTGGGGAGGTGAGAGAGAATAAATACATTTTATGAAAATCCAGATGGCCACCGTGACAAAATGGCCAAAACACATGTTGGCAATATCAAAATAATTCACCACTGTTAGAAAATACGAAGCGATAAGAGCATTTTCGCAAGAAAATGATTAAAATGAACATTATTCAAGATGACAATCAGGCTCGTTGTGTTCAGTTTTAATAAACACAGATAACGTTAATGATCCCTTATCTACTCAATCCCAAAATAAACTCCAACGCAGACAGGCTCAGTCTAACCAACGTTAATAAAATAAACTCCAACGCAGACAGGCTCAGTCTAACCAACCTAAGGCAACAACGTTAACAATACCACAAATCTCCGTCCAACACAACACAGACTAGACAATAAAAAAACTTTGCCTCCATCATTGTTCACACTGACCAAGAGTAAACAGTAGTTTAAGGCAGCGGTTTGAGTAAGGCTCTTAAGACAGTAAATGTATAACATGCTTCCCAACAAACACAATTACACCCACCCTAAGCAACCACTACCAACATCTATAACAGTGCCATGCAAACAGAGCCAGATGATAAAGCTTAGGCCAAAGGCACAGGAAAATGCCATCCATACAATTCACTTTTGGGACGGAGCAGTGGTTAGCGCATTGTAGTGTACTATGAACCTAGGAAACCTGAGGATGATTCATGGCCACGGCTTAACATCAGTTAAGAGGGATATTTGAAATGGTCTTGGGCACTTAGTCAGTGTAAAGCATGGTCAAATAATCCCCATGCCGTGTGGAAGCCCGTGTGCGCTAAGTGTAAAAACGCAAACGCCTAAGTTTTACAATGCGACGTATGAATGTTGAACTTCTTTCGAACCGTACGTAGCCAACCGTGCTGATCAGATGGTTCACTGAGACAAATAATTTCCGAGTTTATGCGAATGCCGGTACCTCCCTGCTAAAACTAGCAAGGGGGGGGGGGGTAAACCTCGGCTCATAATGGCAATTCAGCGTTCCCATGGTGGGGCTATTCTTTGCACAGTTTAAGACACTTTTATTTTTTATTACGGTCCCTTTGTCAGATAATATGAGCAGCGGATAATAAGCGTAAAGGATCGTGATGGCGACAGATTGGAGAGGCATCCATCCATCGGGTTATTGATCATGGCTACTGATGCGCATAGGCCACTATCAAAAAGTACTGTTACTCGCATTGGCAATAGCGTTTGGAAAGAACTGGACCGTGCTACAAAAGTACTCTAGATATTTCTAGCATATGAAGCGCACCATTATATAAATAGCATAAGAGGACGTAATGCACATTCATAACAGCACTAGCAGGCATAGTACAGTAACTCGCAAATACACAACCATTAGAGACTTTTCACAAAGTGGTGTAATTTGTTCTGACCCCGACCCCGGAGGGATGATGGGGGTTCAATCAACCCCCACCACCACAGGCTTCAAATTCAACATTCCTATAAAACGAGAGGGTAGGGGGGGAGTCCCATCTGATCATCCTTAGGTGCCATCCATTTAGTAGGTACGCAAAAATCTGTCAAATCTTGACCCCCCCTTCCTGTGCCTTTTACACCCCCACCTGCTTGACGCGCACCCCCTGCCCCCCCGAATCCTATAGAACGGCCCATATTAAATCCACGCAGAATCGATCAAGGATTAATAGTACGCAATCGTACGCATTTGGGTTATCACCCCCTATTGAATGGATGGCCTCTTACAGAAACACACCGTGACCCCCCCCCCCCAACCCCCAACACGAGCGTATTTTAAGAGAAGAGATATTTAAGAGACGCAACGAGGCTAAGACAACGATTGACACAATTAAGGAACGGAGAGAAACGGGCCCAAGAGGAACACGACTCGATACGAGATCAGCTCGTGTGATAGCTGCCATCGCGCGAGACAATAAAACCAGCACTCGAAACCTCCCCCCCCCCTTCCCCCGCAGCACTTGAAGACGATATCGAGGCCCCTCATCCAGCAGTGGATAAGCCCCACGGCTGAGCAACGCGCCCGCACTTTGACAAAGGCCGCCGGATAACGGGAGAGGCCTTCAAAGCCCACGGCGCAGGCCTCACGCCAAACAACGCGAGCGGGCAGGCTTCGCTCACGCACTCAACGGGAGTGACACCAACAGCCCCGAGTGTCTCCCCACCCTACCACCTCTACACCTCCGCGCGCAACCTTAGTGTAGTTAGCACGGCCGTCGTTGTTCGTTGTTGTTGTTGTTGTTAGGGTCGAGATGAAAGCACACAAGGCCGCGCACGTTTCGACTCACCGGCTCCGCGGTCGCCATGTTGTCAACGGACGAGGTCGGGGGGGTGGGGGCCGTTGAGGGCGGGGGGGTGGGTACGTCACGTGGCGCGCGCTACGTCACGTGGGATCCGGCGGGGCGGGGCTTCGGGTTCAAATCCCTAGCCCACGTGGTCTCTCCCACGCGCCCTTCCAGTCAATGTGGTCGATCCACTGCTGGATGTAATTATTTCGCAATCCCCCGGGTGTATATCGATCTACTATTAAAATTTCCCTCCCTTTATTACTGCTAATCCTACATAATACACGAGCATAATATGACTTTGAGACCCCCCCCACCCCCACCACCTACACATTCCACAAGGAGTGACTAATCCCAGATCTGCATTTGCCATAAATATGCTAACTCCCTCTGTTGATATGTAAACTCTCCTCCTCTAACCCAGCTTAAATATAGGCTGCCAAGCTTGGTGGTGTTCATTCGGACGCTATCTTTCCGACAGCCCTGTTCTTCACCTGAGGACGGCTGTTTATGCCATTTATTGTGAAAATTCCGTCACAGTTCCTATGATTGCTTTTTCATTGCTTTCATGGCTTTATTTTGGTGATTTCGAAAAGTGTATTGGTTTAGCCATGTTTTTTTTTTGTTGTAGTACAGAGTTAGACTGATGGCCTTAATCTAAGCTGTCTTGTGGTTGTTGTTGTTTGACTTGCATCCCACTGAGATTTTTGCACACAGCGTTGGTGTACGGTGTTTTTTCTGCAATATTTTTGCTGTCTTTTCTTGGATTTTCTGTTTGCACTTAGTCACATATTCACTTTAAGATGTTTATTGTTCATGTTTTAGTTTTTTGTTTGTTGCGGTTGCACCCGATTCAAGAGCTAAATACATGAACTTGAACTTGTTTGCGTTGTGGCCGAAACGTCGTGATAATTTTATTATATTATGTTTTATTTTTATTATTTTATTATTTCCCTTCTACGTGACTTTACCAAAAGAACCAAAAAGATGAACTCCTGGGTATAATTTACATTTTTATTTGAAATGTTGGATTTGTCTCCGGCTCCTTTGGGGATTTTGCCCCTCCACAATTCCAATCAACATCGTGTGTGTAGAGTATTTGGCTGCTATACATTTCCACGTGACAAGCCACTTTAGTTTATCCATAAGGGGCCGTCCATAAATGACGTCACGCACCTAGGGGGGTGGGTCAGACATTTGTGACGATGTGTGACGAGGGGGGGGGGGGTGAGAAATGTGACGTCACATCAAAATGCGCAACTTTAAATAAATATAGACAACACGTTCTACTTAATTAAATAGACGTATTAATAAATATTTTCTCCTATAACATCAGAGTGCAGCGCCACATTAAAAACGCATTACAATGACAATAGTTTAAAGCGATTTGAAGCATGATTTATTTTGGGGGGGGAGGGGGGGAGCAGAGCTTTGTGACGTCATATTTGAGGGGGGCCAGACTTTTTGTGCCGTGTTACGATGGGGGGGGGGGGGGGGTAAAAATCGTCCAAAATCGCGTGACGTCATTTATGGACGGCCCCTAAGACAGATTTTTGTTTTGGGTTAGATCGCGTAAATATAAATGTGTCGTTCAACCCGCCACCACCCGACGCAGCCAATTCGTCAGCGTGGTCACGTAACACACCGCTGTGTTTGAGAGCAAAGCCTCAACATTTACAATCGGAGTACGACGTTTCGCCAGTAAGAGCTGGATAGCTCAGTGAGCCTTACCTGGTAATAAGTATAACCCGTAAAAACAAAGTTTTTCACTATAAATCCTTTATATGCGTGGCGGCTAGAGTCCTCTCGTCCTCTGGCTTGAGATGGCTGCCACCTATGGGTCAGATGATTGTCTGCAGTATTAAAGCAATTGGTAATTAAATATTTAATTTGTTTTCCCTAAACAGTGTAAAATTTTGGAAAAAAAATTCCACGAACATTGTGGAGGGTGGGGAGGGACTGGGTGGTGAGGGGCTGGGTGTGGGGCTGGGTGGGGAGGGCTGGGTGGGGGGTTTGGGAGGGGCTAGGCGGGGAGGGTGGGGCTGGGTGGGGGGTGGAAGGGGTGGGGCTGGGTGGGGAGGGGCTGGTCACCCCGTGGTGCCCTTATAAACCTCAACGTTTCACCTACTCACGCCGGCTTGTGCCCGCCCTCACAGTCGGCATATTTGCGGAATACACCACGCCGCCGTTGACCCTGGCCATTGACCGAGCAACCCAACGTTCCTACCAGCTCCCTCCGCAGGAATGTGTTTACACCTCCTTGCAATTGGTTCTTTCTTTAATCGAACATTCTCGCAGTATTCTTGATTTTACAATGGAGAAAGCACAAAGCACTTATAATTCAACCACGGCGTCAATGATTTAGTTAATGTATTTGTACAGCTTTGGATCGAACGAAGATCGATATCTGAACACTCCTTGTCAATAAGCAGCCGGCAGTTCAGCCGGTTCAAAGTTTTGCTTCTTCGATATCGGTTCCGGTTGGACGCAAAATGAACACGTAACAATAATTAATGATCCTAATACCAATGTTTCCATCGGGTTGATGGTAAAGAAACAGGCGTGGAATAACGAGGGAAAGTTTAACTCAGGTTTTCTTTTTTTAACAAGCACCTATTGCTTTGAAGAAGAATAAGAAAAAGAACCTTTAAAAATATATATATATTGTCTGTTTTATCGCAATAATTTCGTCTTGACATTTCCCGCAGTGTGTTCCTATTGGGCATCGGAGCGAGATGTCATCAGCTGATCGCAGCTGGTTACCGTGGCGTCCATCTTACGTGGGGAAGAAGACCGCAGCCAAAGCATCTCCTGTGCATTTGAAAATGAATGAATGAATGGTTGTTGTATTCAAATACACACAACCCCCCCACCCTGTCAAAAACACTGTGACCTTAATAAAAAAAACATTGTGTGCAAATACACACAATCCCACCCCCCCCCTGTTAAAACATTTTGTGGCCTTAATAATCACAAATTGTGTTCAAATACACACAATCCCCCCCCCAAACACGTTTGTCAATAATGTTTTGTGGCCTTAATAATCACAAATTGTGTTCAAATAGGAGGATAGAACTCCCCACATAAAATTCCCCCTCCCCCCCCCCAACATGTTTGTCAATAATTATTTGTGGCCTTAATAAAAACAAATTGTGTTCAAATAGAAGGATAAAACTCCCCACATACAATTCCCCCTCTCCCCACCCCCAACATGTTTGTCAATAATACTTTGTGGAATTTAAAAGTAAACCTAAATATGACATTTTAGGCAATGATGGATCATCTTCACAGTAAACACATAGGGGGGCAGAGAGGTTCCCAGTAACCAGTTCAAAGTTTGTGAGAAATTGGGTCCTCGTTCGGTACAACACGATGGAATGCACAACACAGAATGATAATCCTTAATTTAGTCTGGAGGAATCGGATGAGCTATGAAGCCCTTTTCGAGCAGATGTCCAGTGTATCATATGTGGAGAAAGTCACTTTTTGTGTTCCCTTCCTTCTCATTGATCGAGACATCGATGGAATAATGAGATAACTCACGTTAACTCACGTCTGTTTATTGGACATGATGTACCGTTGCTCAAAAAAAAAATAACCCTACAAAAATATCGATAATTTTGTGTTATAGCAGTAAGCTAATCTAACATTTCCTGAATGTTTACTTGGGTATGCATTATCATCAGCAGCAATATTTTCATACTCTTTTCACAATCCTCCTGCACTCGGGGAGCCCGACAAGCAATCTGCCTTTGTATGTAATAAAAACAAAATGCCAAGATGATATGCATAGCGATGTTTTTTTGTGTATTGTCTTAAGATGTAAAGAATATTTCGGCGTAATAATTACATTAATAGCACAGATTAAAAAGTTGGAGCAATTTTAAATAAACCGTGGTCAGCCTTCTGCGTTCGTTACTGCCAATTATTCAAGGTCACTCTGTAGTAATTGTTTTATTTGAACGTCTTCCGAACTTCTCCCACCGTTTGAACTCAACGTTTGTTTGTTACACGGAGGGCAAAAAAATCACGTGCAGCCAGTTACCCAGCTAGTTTATTTGGCAACAGCCCGCAGCAGCCACGAACAGACCTATTGTTGTTGTGGTGGTGGAAAGCCAGCAGCCAGCCAGGGAAACTCGAGGCCATAGATAACTAATTTTCAGAGGGGGGTCACTTTCACCGATAAGACATCATCATTGTGAGGGCCACCACACATTTGATATCATTGGGTTTAAACAGCATGATGGGGTGTTTTCACAATTGTCTATATATCTGCTTGGTTCTTTCGGTAAAGTCTGAATGAGACGCTGTCTTTCCGACAGACCTGTTCTTCACCTGAGGACGGCTGCTTGCGTTGTGGCCAAAACGTCGTGATAATTATTTTAATGTTTTATTTTTACTATTTTATTATTTCCCTTCTACGTGACTTTACCGAAAGAACCAAAAAGATGAATCCCTGCAGTCACGAAAGCTTTAAATCGAAATGTCTATATATCTTTAATTTTATTTTACCAGGTAAGCCTATATAGCTCTTTTTCAGAAGCGACCTGGCCCCAAATAACAGGCCAAGTTGTGTATCGTGTGGAAATTTAATAGCAAGCCTAAAACTTTAAACGCAAGTTGAATCTAAATGTGGAGGGAATAACCGGAGGACCCGGAGAAAAATCCACGCGACCACGGTGAGTGAGAATTTTTAAAAAATAAAAAATAAAAAGAGAGACACCGCAAACTCCAAACATACAGCAGCAGGCGTCAGGGTCGAGATCGAACCCACGACCTCCTGCACACCAGGCGAGGTAGTTAACATCTCCTAGCCACCCCATTGAATTGTCGGGGTGGGTGAGGGGGGCCCCGCACTAAAGGGCCACCAGTGGCCACAAGTGCCTTGCAATGAAGTACAACACTCGCAGACAACCGAAGATGTATTATTATTCATCCAGAGTGTAGCGGATTGCGTTGTCTCCTCTTCCCACCCCACCCACCCCATCAGCAACCTCGCCCCTACCCAACAGGGCCTCCGGCGTGCTACGGGAGGGCCGACGGCCCCGCCTCCTCCTGCCCGCCCGCCTGGCTCCTTCTCCTCCTCCTGCCGGTAGCGGCCCCCCTCGCCCCGCCCCTCGCCTCCCCTCGCCCCGCCCTCGCGCCGCCCCCCTCGCCCCGCCCCTCGCCTCGCCCCGCCCCTTGCCTCCCCTCGCCCCGCCCCTCGCCTCCCCTCGCCCCCCCCTCGCCCCGCCCCTCGCCTCGCCCTGCCCGCCTGGCTCCTCCTCCTGCCGCTGCCAAAGCGCCCCCCCTCGCCCCGCCCCCTCGCCCCCCCTCGCTCACCTCCCCCCCCCTCGTCCCGCCCTCGCCCCGCCCCCTCAACCCCCCCGCCCCTCGCCTCGCCCTGCCCGCCTGGTTCCTCTGCCTCCTGCCGCTGGCAAAGCGCCCCCCCCTCGCCCCGCCCCCTCGCCCCCCCCTCGCTCACCTCGCCCCCCTCGCCCCGCCCCCCTCGCCCCGCCCACTCGCCCCCCACTCGCCCCGCCCCCTCGCCCCGCCCCCTCGCCTCGCCCTGCGCGCCCGGCTCCTCCTGCCGCCGGTAGCGGCCCCCCCTCATCCCCCCCACTCCCGCCCCCTTGCCCCCCCTTGCCCCGCCCCTCGCCTCGCCATGGCCGCTGTGCTGAGCCACACTTGCGAGACTGCCGGCTGCGCCAACGCCGCCAAGCTGCAGTGCCCGACCTGCATCAAGCTCGGCGTGCAGGGGTCTTTCTTCTGCTCGCAGGTTGTTGTTGTTGTTTGTGGGTGGTGGTTGTGGTGGTGGGTTGTTTGCTGGTGGGTTGGTTGGTTGGTGGGATCCCATTGAAGGCGAGGCCTGGGCCTCAGCCTTGGTGGATTTTTTGGTGGAAGGTGACCGCGTTTCATGTGCATAGCTGGCAGCCCCCGGCCATACGACTGTGGAGTTGCACTGCCTTTCTTACCGTTGGCCGTGATCCGGCACGAGAGATAAATCCACTGCCGCTGATGTGAATCGCGTGCCGGGATTTTAATTCAGGTGGCTTGGTTCGCAGTGATCTCACCACTGCACCCACCGCTCCTCCATGAGTGACACATTAACTGTGCTGTTTGTCATACCTGGGCCCTGTCATAGTAATGTGGAATTTCGTACAAAGGTTTCAGGGCTGCATTGCACGGATTTTTTTTGGTCAGGGAGACGCATTGTTGTGGTATGAGGGCCTTGAGTCGTTTTGAGGCCAAGTACTGGCACATCCATACCCGAAATCCTGGCACAGGAGACCATTTGTATGTTGAACTTCTTTCGCGCCGTACGTAGCCAATCGTGATAACCAGGTGAGGGGAAGGACAACAAACTCAATACAAAAAACAGTTCTAAATAAATGAGTTTTCAATCTTAACATTGCATAGCGCCAGTGGCTTCCAGTTCACTACAACTATATGTTGAACTTCTTTCGCGCCGTACGTAGCCAGCCGTGATATAATCATAGGTGCGGGGTAAGGACACCAAACTGAAGACAACAATCAGTTGAAAAGAAATGAGTTTTCAATCGAGATGAGTTAAAAGTGCGTAGCTCCCAGCGGGCAACCTAATATCGGAAGGAAGAGCGTTCCAGACGGCCGCTGAAGCGCATCTTGAAAGCGCGCGTCTTTTCTTCGACGTCTGAGCCAAAAATAATAATATTCGCTGCTGTGGAGGATGACTGGAGTTCGCGTGATGCTTTATGTTCCTTGACGAGATCAGCAAGGTACACCTGGAATAGTTGCTAAGTCTGTGTCCTCGTCCCAGTCGTTTTGACAATGTTTTTGTCCACAGGTAAACCGGAAAAGTGAATACATCGAGTGCCAAAAATCGCTAATTTTGCAACACAATTCTCAATTCGGAAGGATTTGAGTTCAATTCCCGCTTGGGGGTTGAGGGCAACACATTATTATCATTAGCACTCTAGGGTCAACACAATGAGGACTACTTTGTGCATAGTTACGTTGTCTTGTGGAATAACTACCTCCCATCATACGAATGTGGAATTTCCAACACCGGCTCAGGATCACCAGTGTCGTTGAGTGTTGCCGCATTGCTTTTTTGGGCAGGGCATGACAACCATAAAATTATATTGCGATGGGTGGAGCGGTGGCGCAGTGCTTGGCACAGCGTGTTAAAGAACATGGTGACCTGAGTTTAATTGTCGGGAACGGTTGACGTCGCTAGCAAGTGATATCTCAATTGGTCCTGGGGTTCCCTGTGTTGACCTACCTTCCCTGGCCAATGTGGTGAATTATGTTCACATCGGAGGTGCGGACAAAGGGCTGTCAATTATTATTTTGCGTTCAATAGAAAATTTGACTTGCGAAAATGGATTATTAATAAAGTCTATCATACAAGGAAAGATGAACTCGCTGCTTTCCAATGAGTCAATGAATTGTCATTTAATAAATAATAATATTAGTATGACAGAGAAGTCACCATTACTCTTCCTGTGGAATTGCTGGACCCCGTCATGGCAACGTGGAATGTCCACCATTGGCTCACGGCCGCCGACAAAGAGAATCACGGACCCAATGTTCGTTTGAGCATGGATGCAGGCTTCCGCAAAGCTAATGTGAGCTCGTTAAGCCGCGTCAGATTGTTTTGACACTGTAACGCACACTATGTGGGAACGCCCTCACCTAACATTGGATTGCCAAAAGGGGGCTGCATACGTGTATGTGAAGGGTTTTCTTTGCTGGGTGTCTGTCGTGTGTGGGCAGGAGTGCTTCAAAGGCAGCTGGGACACCCACAAGAAACTGCACAAGAAAGCGAGTGAGTGAGGCAGCTCTCCTTCATATGAGCAAATCTCCCCAAAATGCGCCTGATCTCTGCAGATCTCGGAAGCTGAGCGGCGTTGAGTCTGGATAGTACTTGGACCAGTGACCACCAATGCACGCCACATTGTCGTACTTCACCTGCGCGGCTGTGCTGTGTTGCGGACAGCAAAGGGGTAGTGCAGCAACATTTTTAAAAAATAAGTCAAATTTGCTTGGACAGTTTTGCCTCTGATGTGGCCATCATTGGATCTCGGAGATTAAGCAGGGTTAAGTCTGGTTAGTACTTGGATGGGAAACTTAACTAGGAACACCAGGTGTTCAGAGGCCCGGATATGTGAACCTTTGAGTGTCACCTCCCTTGTATGTGTAATGTAGCTCTTAGAGACACTGTCTTGTTCAGTTATATGTATATTTATTGTGAATGAAGTCCACCGACTCACTGATAATTTAACGAGTAACTGCGAGTTGACTATATACAGCTGAGTAACTTCTGTGACCCTACGCGACGCTCCCTGTGTAGTTGGCTGGCTACACAGGAGCGGACGCGTAGTAGTCACGGAGACAATATTAACTCTAGCCTTCCAAGTCCAGAAGGTGCCCGATCCAAGATGATGAAGACGACCCGCTTCAAGACGACGACGGCGACGACAGTTTCTTGATTTCCCACACAACAGCCCAGAGCCCTGCTCCACGCCGGCTTTTATCCACTCCTCGACCCGGCCACGCCCCTTTTCCCCGAACACTCTCTCACCTCTTCTGGGCCTGTCTGTCCCTGTCTCAATGATTATTTACCGCTTCGGTTCCGTGCTATCCTTACGCGACCCTGTCAGTGCCCGTTGCGGCAATTAGTAACCACGGCCACGGGGAGCCGTACTGTCCTTACATATATGTGAATGGTTGGATTTCCTACACGAAGCCGAACACACATTTAAGGAGTTGTCTTCACCAATTTAGCAGCACCCTCCTGAAAGAGTCAGAAGACTCGCCAAGGCTTTCCTGGGTAAGTGAAGGGCAGACATTAGCATCACCATCTCCCAATTAATAAAAGACCGGTGACGAAATGTATCTGAACCGGCCCTGGGCACCTCTTCAACCTATGTGGACCAATGCGGTGAAGTATGGTCAAACATCCTCCATCACTCTTCATCTTGCAGTGTATTTGCTGATGGGCTGTAAATTACAATAGTTTGTATAATCGTTATAGTTATAGTTACTGCTTATAATTATGGATTGACAAATAGACTGCATATACACGATTCATTGTTAGACCGCTTACATTTGAATGGGTGCTTTTGCAAACATGTATTCCTTTTTGCTGTTGGCTGGTGGTAGTCATTTAGTTGGAGCTAGGGCACCACGCGCCGTTGGTATGTGCCCACGCCTGCGAGATAACGCGTCGTCATGAAATGTGGTGTACGTTATTGAGCAATGCAGAGCTGTGGTGTCGAGAGTGTGTTGTTGAAAGCCGATCTCCTGACACTTTAGCATATGGCACTGCCGACTAAGCATTTAGAGAAGCAGTGTTGCTCACCCAGCATTTTTGTCTGTGTGATGGAGTGGGGGAAAGGAACGGTGGTGCAGTGGTTCGCACACTGCACTGTGCACCCGATGATCTGAGTTCAATTCTCGGCCACGGCTAACATCGGTGTCGAGCGATATCAGAACAGGTTCCGGGCATCCCTTATGTCAACTCGGCCTTAAACAAGTACTGTACCTAATTCTAGATTTGAAGCTTTCGTGACTGCAAGGATTCATATTCTTAGGTTTTTTCGGTAAAGCCACGTAGGTAAAAAATGTAAATCAATAAAAGTAAAATAAAACAAACCATATTAATAAAAAGTGTGCCATTCCTGGCCCTTCCCCCCTCAACCATTATATATACGGGGTGGTATTTCTTGTGATCTCTCATTTACTTGATACAGCTGTCGTGGCTGTGACGGTTCCACCTGAAGACGGAGGCTTGTGTTGCTTCCGAAACGTCTTGATTTTTTATTTTGTTTTATTTTACTTTTATTAATTTACATTTTTTACCTACGTGACTTTACCGAAAAAACCTAAGAATAAGTACTGTACCTGGTGCAGTGTATACATCAGCGGTGGGGAGACAAAGGTGGTCACATCACCCCCCTTTTGGATGGGCCACATCCCCCCCGCTTGTGAGCTGTGCAGGCCTAAATAGATGCTCGCTAAGAGCACTTGTCTCAGCAGTCTATCAAAGGATGTTCGGGGGATCTTTGCGTTTTGGAGGTGTGGCGGTTCAGTGATTCTCAAGCTGCACTGGAAAACTACGACGACTGGGGTTCAATCCTCTGCCGTGGATCACATCAGTGGCAGGTGGTATCTGAACCTGTCCTGAGCCTCTGTGAGGTTGACTCAGCCTTAAATCATTAAGTGGAACTGTATCTAAGCAGCAGCATGAGAGAGGAAAAGGCAGCGGGCTGGGCTTTGTGCTGGCCACACCACAGCTTTGTTGTTCTATGCCCGATTACAGCGCAGAACAACAAAGGTAGTTTTTGTCTTCGGTGAGCAGATGTGCACACACGCACACACAAAAACAAACCAAGAGTGTGTTGGTACCTGAGTATAAATTATGCATGGCCTTCACAGGTCCCTCTCGCAAGAGAGATAATGAATCTTGCGTATAGGCTTCTGTCATTGTTGAGAAAAGGTCACTTAACTCGGTGTGTGTTATGAATGTTTAAGTACGGCATATCCATTTTCACACAGGACCAATCCACGTTACGTGTATGAAAACAATAAATGAAAAATAACCGTGCAGCCCTTTGCAAAATCTACTACTGCATTAAAGCCTCCACATGCCGTATCAGTAATGGGGGGTGGGAGGGGTGGGGCTGGGTGGGGAGGGGCTGGTCACCCCGTGGTGCCCTTATAATACTCAAGGTTTAACCTACTCACTCCGGCTTGTGCCCGCCCTCACAGTCGGCCATATTTGCGGAATACACCACGCCGCCGTTGACCCTGGACATTGACCGAGCAACCCGACGTTACTACCAGCTCCCTCTCCGCAGGAATGTGTTAGCTCCGGTTCTGGCTTCCTTCCCGCTTGTCTGCGGTTTCCCGCGAAAAATGGGCAGAGTACAAACTCAACAGCATTTTAATCTGAAACAAGTTTGATGACCTTATCTTGAAGGAATTTACATAGCGCATTAACCAAGGGGCTTTATAAAGAATTAACATGGTACATATGAATTTAAGTGAGTATTTGGTGAGGAGTGGAAACTCGTGAGGAAGGTGACTGTTTAATGTGGAGGCGGCAAGAAGAGAAAAAAAATGAAAGCGTCGATTGAGCACAAGAAGAAGGAGGAACGGAGAGAGACAGCAAAGATTGAGAACGTAGTGTAAAATACATTATTAGCCTGCACACGGGAGTACGATTTTTTTATTTGATTCAATATATTTTTTTCATCAGTTCCACCCCGCAAAAAAAAACCCCTTTACAAGCAGGACACATTATTTTCAAGGACACAATTGCATGTGGCTAATGTGAGATGCTTGTGTCTGTGTGTATCCGTGCGTGTGTGCAGAGGAAGAGAAGGCACAGAACAATGCGGCAAATATTCCCGGAGCGCCGATCACGGATCCGTGGCCCTGGTATCGCTACACGGGCACGCTGCGACCCTATTATCCCCTGGTACGTTGCGCATGCAGTACAACACAGCGGTTTAAGAAAAGATGAGATGTTACACACGAGACGGGAGAGATGGGGCTAATAGTACGTTCGAGATTGATACAAATAAAATGAAAAAACATGCTTTGATTCTTAATTGGAACCGTCGATCCGCAGTCATGGTAATTATTCTACTCGCTGGGTGGGGTGACTCGTTGCAAGCCCCCTGCTACACGTGCTGGTGAAGGTCGCAACCGAAGGGCAGAACCGATGTGTTCAACCGACTGCCCTTACCGCTCAATGCCTTGATTTCCCTGTCTGCCGCTCCCCACAGAGCCTCAAGAAAGATGTGCCGGAGGATATTTCAAGGCCAGACTACGCGAATCACACGCAAGGTACGGTGTTGTTTGATGGAACTGTAACAAAATTAACGGCCAAAAAATTAACCCGTAAAAAAAAAGTTTTTCACTATAAATCCTTTATATGCGTGTTCAATGGGCCACAAGCCAGCTCACATTGGTCTTTGAAACGGGCGGCTAGAGTCCTCTCGTCCTCTGGCTTGAGATGGCTGCCACCTATGGGTCAGATGATTGTCTGCCACCATTAAGCAATTGGTAATTAAATATAAAAAAAAAATCCTAAAAGGTGTAAAATTTTGGAAAAAATTTTTTCAAGAAAATACATTGTCACGCACAACGAGTCTGTGTGCAAAATGTCAGCTCGATTGGATCACGGGAAGTGGGTTAAAAAACGACCGAAAGATTTGCGCGATCGTAAGCAAGCAAGCAAGTGAACTTAATATAAAGGATTTAAAAAAGCATACAGTCCGGATTTTCCTAGGTAAAATTGCGAGTCGTAAAATTGTATTTTAACCATTAAAACAATCGTGCCAATTAATAAAGGTCTCTTTAAAAATATAAATGTGCAGCCCATCGATTGTTCGCCAACGCCACTGCTGGCGGAGGGAGGCCTCCTCTCTGCTCTTAGAAGCTCCTCTCAAGAATATTTTGTGCCCCCACTCTACCACACTGGCCAGACAGCTTGGAAGAGGTGGGCATTCCCCACGCTTTTCACCACCCATATTTTCTGCTGGGTGGACGGAGGCTGCGGGGTGGGGGGGGGTGTTTCTGTAACGTTCACATTGTTTCAACTTTACGCTAACCCATCATACCATGGCAGCATCCCCAAAGAATTGTTTTGTGTGATGGCCGAATCGCTGTTGAATGGGCTTTTTACTTGGGGGGCTAAACTTTGGAGCGTCTCAATTCGTAAGAGTCATTCGAGGATGGGCATGTGTTTTGTGTTGGCTGCAGGAATCTCCCTGGTGGAGAAGGAGATGAGAGGTAGCACGCAGATCAAGGTGCTCTCTCCCGACGAGATCGAGGGCATGCGCATCGCCTGCAAGGTGCGGCGACCGACGACTCGCGGTCGTTAAAATGTCACGATTGGAGACCCAGCGCCGTTCGCCGCTTGCGTTGTCGGCTGTAGTAGTAGCCACAGCAGGCATGTCACGTGTTGTCTCGATTTTAGCCACGTCTTGATCTGTGGGGTCCAGGGGCAGCTGTTTTAAGTTGTCGGAATTGGAGAGAAATGTTGAACGCCTAAAATAAAATATATATAACAAGGTGGCGTTTCGGGCAATGGTTCTTCAACGCTTCACCAAATAATTGGTTTAATATTGGATAATGGTTCAAATATTGAATGCTGGGTTGGTGGTCTGAAACAAGGTCGTGCACACGCAGTTGACGATGCCGCGTGGAGGAAAAAGCTGTTATACCGGCAGTGTGGGAATGCCACGTGATGTACAAGGCACGACGGGAGGACCGATCACGTCGCAATCGTACTCTTGACATGCGTTTTTATTACTCGTGCAGCCGCCCGGGTTGTCGTGCTTTATTTGTGAATTCTACACGGCCGCTTTTACACGTGCATGCAAAAAGACGCATAAAACAAACGGACGCGTTACCTTTTTGCCTCGTACGGTGGCAGCCTCGTGTGCCGTGTCCACCCGACTGACCGTGGCTTGTGAATTTCGCGTGGCTCCCTGCAGTTGGGCAGGGAGGTGCTGGACATTGCGGCGAAGATGGTGAAGCCGGGCGTCACCACGGACGAGATTGATGAAGCCGTGCACGCGGTAATGTACCGGCCGAAAACCTTTGCACGTGAAGTTAAAGTGTGCCTCCGTTGAATATGCGTGAAGGTTATCCGTTCGAGGTGGTCTGGTGGCTCGCAGGTCAGAGCGTTGAGCTGGCACTCCTGGGAACCTGGGTTCGAATCCAGGCAGCTGCCAGGGATGATTTACTTATTATTTTGCCGCTATACATTTCCACAAGAGCTACCATTTGTCGCCAGGTCATTTTTGAAAAGTAAGTAAATACCTCGGTGGGCTTTATCGTATATATTTTTAATGATTTTTGTTTACCTTTCATATACTTTGCACTTCTATTGTGTTTTTGTATTGTTTGTTGTAACGTTCTAACCCACCCCTACTGGACATCTGTAAAAAAAGAGCTTTATAGCTCATCGGATTCCTCCTATGTAAATAAATATTCTGATTCTGAAAACCAGGTTCTCAAGTGTAGCAAGTTGATGGGTTTCGGTCCAGTCACGAGTGACTCGCACAGACACATAGACTTGCATAGAGATATGTAGACTTGCACAGAGACACATAGACTTGCATAGAGATACGTAGACTTGCACAGAGACACATAGACTTACGTAGATATACGCAGACTTGCATAGGGACACATAGACTTGCATAGAGACACATAGACTTACATAGAGATACGTAGACTTGCATAGAGACACATACACTTACATAGAGATACGTAGACTTGCACAGAGACACATAGACTTACATAGAGATTCGTAGACTCGCACAGAGACACATAGACTTACATAGAGACACATAGACTTGCATAGAGACACATAGACTTGCATAGAGATACGTAGACTTGCACAGAGACACATAGACTTACATTGAGATACGTAGACTTGCATAGAGACACGTAGACTTGCATAGAGACGCATAGACTCGCATAGACCGAGTTGTGATTAAAGTGGGTTTGCAGGTGCAGCGAGTTGGTGGTGTCAGTCCGGTCACCAATGACTGCGCGAAATAAAACTCGTGTCAAATTTGGTTCTTCACTTAATTTGTCTAAACTCCGCGAATTTAAATAATGATCAGTTTTGACTGTCATGCTAAAAGTTTTACGTTCTCTAGCGGGACATGGGGGGTGGGGGAAGTGCATTGCCCCTGTTGTGTGGAAAAGAGGCCGGAGAACATACAAACATACAAACTCCAGGGTCGGGATCGAACCCACGACCTCCTGTATACCAGGCGGGGTGGTTAACATCTCGCCACCGCGGCGCAATAAATTGGGGAATAAAAATACAAAACATCGTCTTCGAATACGACCGTCGCTGTTGCCCGTTGTTTTTGTTGTTGTTGTGGTGGTGTTATTGCTATTGACGGCGGTGGCCGCTTGTCCGTCGTTTCGCACCGGGGGCCAGGCCTGCATGGAGCGCCGCTGCTACCCGTCGCCGCTCAACTACTACAACTTCCCCAAGTCGTGCTGCACCTCCGTGAACGAGGTCATCTGCCACGGCATCCCCGACCATCGTCCACTGGTGGAGGGCGACATCCTCAACGGTGAGACGGGGCGTTCCGTGCGTCATGGTCATGATCTGTGCCGGCAAATCCGCCGGGGGGGCCAAAGTTTTATCCAAAAACCTCGAGCTTCGTTTAGGAATAACCCCTTGATAGATAATGATTGATGTTTGCGTACGTGCGCTTCGCAATGCCACGATACATACGAACGTGTAAAGCTGCAGCGAAAGTGGCTCGGAGGTCAGAGCGCTGAGCTGGTACTGCTCGTCGGCAAGTTATTTATTTATCTATCAAGAATACAGAGTAGATTACGAAGAGGGGGAAAAAAACGGCAAATAACGTGAACCAAACCCGGAGCGATACACCCTCAAGATTAGGGACCAACCGGGGGCGTCTGGGCTCACCGCCCTACCGTGTTCGGGGTAGTGATCGGCAGCGGTATATTTATGGGGGACGGGAAGACGATGGAAGAAGGTGGAGTGGAGGGGGGGCAATAATATAACCAAACAGAACCGGAAATAAGATAACACAAACGCAATGCCCAAGTTTGTCATTCTTGTTCTCTCCCAGGAGCAGTGATTACCGTGTGTTAACGGGGAGGTGGTGTAGTATGCAGAGTCCATCCCTTCTCTCCGGGACCCCATTTTTCCGTCTGTGCATCGCTTATCTTAAAAATAGATCAACTTTATCCATACATGACAAGAGAGCACTGCTTTGCAACATTTTCAAATTTTTTTCTTTTAAAATTTTTATTTTACATTTTTTTGAGTCCCACTTTAAAGCACCCCCCCCAATGTTTGGATACGGTTCATTCACCCACGTTGGTTTTAAGGACACACTGTATATGGCAAATGTCTTCCTATTATTTGACTTCATCCGTGGATAGAGGGGTAACCTGTTAAATGATCACCCAGAAGTGATGGGTTATTTGCAGCAATTCCATTCTGTTGACGTTTCTTCGCGGATAGCTGCACGGATATCGCGAGTTATTTTTGTAGATAGTAGGATCTGCCAGTTGCGCACTCTCCCATATCAATGCAGTTGTGGGGGGGAACGGTCAACTCTCGATCGTCTGGGGGTCACGGGTGCGGGGCGAGGGTCCTTGGCTCGGATAAAATAAACACAGCTCACGCAAAACACAATTGTGAATCAAGCTACAAAAAAAACCACACGTAGCATGGAGGTGAAGACAAAGAAAGCAGGTTTTTTAAATTTTGTTTATTAAAGTAATCGGTTTTCCTTGCTGCCGTGCATGGGGTCACGCAGGCTCCGAGTCGCCGACCCGAGACAACTTGAGGAACCAGCTAATGATTAAATGAGCGCGCACTCGTAAAGTTTTTTTTAAATTTTCTTGCTGTGGATTTCACACCTGATGATGATTGCTTGTGTTGCAGTCGAAACGTCGTGAGAATTTAATTGTTTTATATTTTTATTATTTTATTGCTTCCCTTCTACGTGAATTTACCGAAAGAACCAAGAATTTGAATCCCTGCAGTCACGAAAGCTTTAAATCAAAATTTAACTCGTAAAGTGATTTATTTTTTGTCACAAGCGCAGCGACCCTGAAAACCCATCTAACTCGCCCACGGGTAACCTACAGGTCAACCGCGGTTTTCGCGTGCACCTCCTTTGTTAACGTGGCCGTCTTTTGTGTTCCGTTCGCTTGCCGCGCGCGTTCCTCGCCGCAGTCGACATCACGGTGTACCACAACGGCTTCCACGGGGACCTCAACGAGACGTTCTTCGTGGGAAACGTGGACGCGGCGTCCCGCAAGCTCGTGCAGGTCTCCTTCGAGTGCCTCATGCAGGCCATCGACGAAGGTCAGCGCGCCGCCGTCATGCACGGACCTCTCGGCACACGACGGAGCTGCTCGTTAGCTCGCAGCAATGGCTTGTGATGACACGTTGAATCGTGTCGCGATGATAAGTTGAACCGTACAGCCTAAGTTCGATTCCCAGTCATGGCTAGCATCAGTGGAAAGTGACGTTTGAATCTCGCGTACGCCTACCTTGGGCATCTCGTACGTCAAACCTAGCCTAGAATGAGTACCTCGTGCTGTGTCTGAACATTAGCACCAGGGAGATTAAGATGGCCCAGCCATAATACCAGGTCACTCTTGCAAGTGAGACTATTCTGGTCTTTCGCGTGACAACTTATTAATGCCAGCATGGCACGTAAACGGGTGGTGTGAACGGCGCCATCTCCACCCAGTGCCGATGCTGATAAACTGCACAAAGTAATCACTTTAGGCCGAGTTGGCCTTAGTTGAAACCCAGGATATGCCGATGCAGCTGTGGTGTGTTGCCAGCCACACCACCCTCTCTTGTGCGCCATGTTGGCCTTCATAGGGTGTGGGGACAAGTGCAAGTTAGCGAGCACCTGTCAGGTTACACGGGGATCTGCGTCTTTGTGTCTAATCCGCACGTGTATTACGTGTTCACAGTTAAGCCGGGCACGCGTTACCGTGACATCGGCAACGTGATCCAGAGACACGCGCAGGTGCACGGCTTCTCGGTGGTGCGGAGTTACTGCGGCCACGGAATCCACCGCCTCTTCCACACCGCGCCTAATGTGCCCCACTACTCAAGTACGGCTCGCACGATCACCACCCTGCTAGCCACACTAGCCAACACGCTGATCTTCCCCAGGCCCACCGAGCTATACTATTGTAATAATACTCTTGGAGACGACTTGTGGAATCGGTCCTTTTATTTATTCCAGTTCACAAGTACTCCCCGCTGCTGGCAGGCAACGGGAAGTGGGCAGACAGACCACAAGAGACGCACCGCCACGTGGCACTCGGAGCCCCGCTCGCGCGTGGCCCCTCTCTTCCTTCGTTCGACCACGTGTCGTTCATCTCTCCCCTTATTTAATGCCTGGGTCACGTGGTACGCTCCAGCCAATCCTTGGTAGCCTGCGCCAAATCTTCTAGATTCCCCATCAACTCCCGGGACCACGCCCCTGACTTGTCTTCCCATTGGCTGAGGCCAAGACCAGCAGAACCAATCACCCTAGCTGGCACCCCTTGATCACGCCAGGGCCATGCTCCCAGGCTCTCCCCCCATTGGCTATAGAGCAGGACCGGCAGAGCCGATCACCACGTGAGCCGGACATAAGCTCTTATTACACTATAAAAACCAGCGTAGATGGGTGGACAATATCTCCTTAGTGTGTCTCGTCTCTCCACGTTAAATTAGTTTTTTACAAAGTCAGTCGCCCTACGGCCTTGTGGGAGTGCATCATTTCAGCAGCCATCGAGTCAGTACAAGCAACATAGTGTCTCATCAGCAAAGGCCATGCTTGCTTGAGTCAGTGCTGTTGAACTGCCAGGACCCGCTCTTTAAGATATGGGTCTTAAGATGTATACATTATATAATACACGGACCGATGGGTTCTGCGTGTAAAAAATATTTAACATTTCTTGTGTGGACAGATATATGAAGGAGACGTAGCGTTTCTATTGTGTGACTAACATTCTACAGAATGGCACTAATGATTTTGTACATGACACACTGCACATTCTGCTGTCTGGAGATCACATTTTGCGTGTATGACTATAATTTGTTCCTGATCTGTACTCACTTCTAAAACTGTCTGATAAGCTCCCCATCATTTTCCATCAAGTATTAAAATTGGTTGCCCGAATCTCTTACTTTTTACAACTCTTAATTCCTACGAGGATACAATTCCTACGACCAGTGAGGTTAGGGAGGGGGGGTCACGGGGTCACGCGTCTGGTACAAGTGTGTTCCTGTGTCGCCCTCCAGAGAACAAGGCAGTGGGAGTGATGAAGCCTGGACACGTGTTTACCATCGAGCCCATGATCTCAGAAGGTGAGGCCCGTTTTCAGGCACAATCCGCAAACTACAATTGGTTATTTTATCCAGGTAAGGCCTGCCGAGCAGAGGTCGCAACCGGGTACCCGATACCCGTACCCTACCCAATACCCGGCTACGGGTACCCGTTTGCGACCCTGGTGTGGCCGGGTACGGGTAGGCCGTGAGTCACTGGTGAGTCACCGTTTGTCACTCTTTTTCCAAACGTCTTGTCTCTTCTCACAATTCAAGTTCCTAGAATCAACCCACCCACGCCTGCAACATGGCTTCATCCCAGAGGTCACAATCGGGTACCCGTACCCTACCCGATACCCAGCCGGGTACGGGTAGCCGGGTATCGGGTAGGGTACGGGTATCCGTTTTCGACCCTAGTGCGGCCAGGTACGGGTAAGGAATCAAAACCCGTTTGCGACCTCTGCTGCCGAGCTATATAGCTCCAATTTCAGAAGCGATCTGGCTACAAATGATGGCTCAGCAAAGTGGCTTGTCACGTGTAAGTGTGTTGCAGCCGAATAAGTCTCAATGCATGTTCCTAAATGTGGAGGGAAAAACCGGGTCCATTATTGACCTGTGCTCGTGATGTGAAAACAAACAAACGGGTTGCGACCAACGTTGCGTTTTCACAAGCAGGTTGTTCGCGCGCGATCAGTTGCGTTTTTTCCACCGCAGGCACCTGGCAAGACGAGACATGGCCGGACGAGTGGACGGCCGTCACCAAGGACGGGAAACGCTCCTCGCAATTCGAGCACACGCTCCTTGTCACGGAGACGGGGTGCGAGATCCTGACGCTGCGGACGGAAGACTCGGGGCAACCTCACTTCCTGTTCCAGGACTGACCTTCACTTAATGGCACGTGGGGGGGCCCCCGTGCGATTGACGCTCGGAACCTCGCTCGGTTTACGCCCGCGGTTAGACATGAGTCCGATTTCGATTTTTGCAAGCGACGCGGTGAACACTGTCGTGTGAAAATTTCTGCAAAAATGTAAAACTTAAAAAAACGGGAGATTTAAATGAAGGAGGGCGGAAAAAAGGAACTCGGAATTTTTTTTCTTGTTTGTTGTTGCTGTGCCTGACGTGCGTCGTCGAATTGCCATAGAAAAACTTTTCTTTTTCCCATTTGCCAAGCTGTGTAGGAAGATTAGTTTTTTTATAAGCGGCTTTATCTCGCTTTTGTGCAGAGCGCCGTTGTGAGCCATCAACTTCGCCGTTTGTTCGACACTGAAAAACGTTAGCATTTGTAAAAAAAAAAAATGACGACCTTGATGGCAGTTATCAGACCGCGTTCCCCTTCCCCGCTGTGCCAGTTATTATACGTGAGAAAAATAAAACCGAGTGTTTTTACGACGTGCATTGTATAGAAGGAGGGACGCGCAAAAGCGTAGCAAGCAACGGGTCTGTTTATTGAAACGATGCAACTGGACGATTCCACCGAGGTCATGTCAGAAACAAGTAGCTGGATTTTCATCTCATTAAGTTGTTAGATTTTTCTTTTTGACTATCACCTTCACGGCAACTGTCTACGTGCATTTTCATGCTTTCTTTTTAATTTGCAAAATGGTAATCTACTTGTTTTTGACGTAACAACTGTGCGGAACTGCCCAACTCGCAAAACGTATAATCGCCAAGCTTTCAGTATTTGTATCTAAAAATAGAGGACAATAGGAGCAGGCTGATTGTATTTATTTTCTACGATTTCACCGCTGTGCTGTTAATCGTTGCCAAGTGCTCTTCATTCTCTGCCGATGGCCATCGGTGCTGCAGGGCTTAAAGCTTCAGCACGGTGCGGATGCTGCGGAGGTAGAGAAAATGAAAAGTGTTAGGCGGCCACCGTTGATGTTAACATGCCGTGGCTGGTGCAGGGAGCGCAGGAACTCCGTCAAAATCGTGGCTGCATCGGTCGTCGTCATCATAGAACATCGGGGCGTACCCGGGGGGGTTTATTTAAGAGTTTTTACCCCCCCACCCCAACAACGAACAGATTTTGGTTGCTTGTAATTACTCCCAGGGCTGTGTGTTGCGGGGGGTACCGAGTGTGCGGTTTCAAGCTTCGTTAATGTCAGAACAAAAGGTGAACCTCACGATACTTTTACCCAGGAGAGCCTCGCTGAATTTGAAACAACTGTATTTCGGGGAGGGTCTTGCATTGGGATATTTGACTCGTTCCATTTTCTTTTTGGCTTGTAGTAAGAAACCGGTGTATCCAGGTAAATCCCACACGCAGGGAGGGGGTAACAATGAAAAGTTCTGCATTTTGGACCTTTGGATGTGTTCTCTGCAAACCGACAAAACTAATTAATAAAATCAAACGAGGATTGATTCCACCTGCAGTGCTGCCATCTTTTCCCCACCTCGCAAGCCCAAAGCCCACAACACCTGGGATTTCTGGCCAGGCTCTGAACACCGGAGCCAGGCTTGATGCTTTTCGGCTTCCGAGAAAGGTGCATTCAGGCTGATTTGGTTATAAGCCGTCAAGTCTCTAAGCGACGGTCAGGAGCATTGCAATGGAGCTTTGGTGCCATGGCTGCAGTGCCACTTTGCATACCTTTTAAAACATCGGCATCGTAGTACCGTGCTATGGAAAGTCACTTGACAGTCCTCATGCCTCCAACTCTGGTCGAAAGCATTGCTGTGTGTCTGTCCATCTGCCTTTAAGATGAGGTCACGATAGCTCTCCTAACAAAAAATGGTTCAATATAAAATCAAATGTTGGAATAAAGCCGTCCAAAAAAAAAAATCGCTGTGTCCCAAAGCATGGCAATTAAAACCACAGCCGATCGTGGGCGAGCCTTTTCTTTTCGGCCAAGGTGATGATGTCACACGCCACCCCCCCCCCCCCCTACGTTACAAGACACCCGCAGTGCAACGTCATCTCATTACGCAGTTTGTAATGTTACGCTAACGCCAAATAAATAATTACGAGGGTGAACGCACTTTGGAAATGCGACGCACAATCCGTGCGTATTGGGAGGGGGAGGGGTTTCCTTATCGAAGCTTGAAACGCAGATGGGACGGCCATGGATGCAACCTCAGCGTGTAAGCGACAAGACTGCTTGCATGCAGATATTCGCCAAAACAGCAACGCAGAGTAACGTTTATACGACTGGTTTGCTCAGAGTGAGCTCTCAATCGGTTTTGTATTATCAGCCTGATAATATTTGTGGAGTTTGCGGCGGTACAGTATTTGTTTCTCTGTTCTAGAGAGAGAATACTTGACGTTGTTTGGGCTCTGAAAACCCACCTGTTTGGGCTGCGACATTAATACGAACCGCTACGTCCGTTAATGTCAGATCTTGGAAGCTAAGCAGGAATTTTAGCCTGGATAGTTCTTGGATTGGCGACCATCATTACCAATCAGTTGCCAGCGAAACTTGCCACCTTTGCCAAACTGCACTGGCCCAACGTGGTGAAGTATGGTCGGCATGGCCTGGGTTGTTTCGTTCGTCCAGCAGTGGATTGGCACAAATGGCTGTGCATGTACAACGTACATCCTACATCTCCCTAAGGCAGGGGTCGGCAACCAAAATAACAAGAAGAGCCATTTCTTTCCAATTCGGTACAAAATTCAGTATTTCAAGAGCCGCAATGCATCTGAGTACATATTGTACTCACGTACATATCGTCAAGAAGCAGCCCGTAAAGAGCCGCATGTGGCTCCGGAGCCGTAGGTTGCCGACCCCTGTCCTAAGGCAACTAAAGAATTTGTACTCAAGCGGGTGCACTCTTACATCGAGTATAAATGTGCTGAAGAGGTTAAAAAATATATATCAGTTCAGAACAAGGGGCGATTTCTGTAGACTAAAACAATACAATTCGCACCTATTTGCCTCTGAACAAATGGCCATGAATGCATCTGATCCCATCAAATCTCAGAAGCTAAGCAGAGGCCAGCTTGGTTAGCACTTGGGACTGGTGACCACGAGGGCTTGCCAGGTGTTGTAGGCACAGGACTGCGAGGTGTTGCCAGGAGATGACAGTGCAGAGTGTCGCCCCTCCCCCGCAAGCAAAATCATCAGGCATCTCCAAGTTGCCGCGATCCCACATGATTCCGTGACGTGCCAGGCTGCCACGGTGGTGAGATGTTAACTACCTCGTCTGGTATACAGGAAGTCGTGAGTTCGATTCCGACCCTGACGCCTGTGTATTCGTAGTTTGCATGTCTCTCACCGTGATGGTGTGGATTTTTCTCCGGGCTCTGCAGTTTTCCTCTCCGCATTTAGAAACAACGTGCGTTTAGAGTATTCGGCTGCTAGAAATTTCCACATGATAATCAGCTGAGCTATCATTTGTGGCCGGATCGCTTCTGAAAATGAGCTACATAGCAAAGTGGGCCTTACATGGTAAAATAAAAATGTTTTTTTAGTTTAGTTCTATGTGTGAATGTGGAATGCTGTACAGATAGAGGGATGTGCACATTGCTGTAACTTGACTGGGGGGGGGGGGGGGGGGGGAGTAGGTGCCACATCACCCCGTGTTGAGCACGACCCGTGAAATGTTGGACATCACCGAGTTGCAAGGGTGTCACGATTCACCTACCCCCTCCCTTTCCCCCATGATTTGAATTGTCGCAATTCAGGGTCAAGATTCGATTCACGAATAATCGATTCTCTTAATATTGTGATGAAGGTGCCAGCGGCGGTAGCAGCACAGACCTTTGGCAGCTGCAGGGATTTGCGTGGAAACATTACAACTTTCACGGGATTGAAAAATGCCAGTTCTTACAATACTGCTTTTCGTGTTTAGTTTGCTGTCCTTGTCCCGCGCCTACCATTGGCAAGGTTGGTTACGTACGGTGTGAAAACAAGTTCTACATGCAGGCGGCGATTCAATGCACGCGTTGTTTAGCTTAAGAGTTTCTTATGGATTGATGCATTGTATGATTTATTGCAGTCATTCAAATTGCCTCTCGCTACCAGTGGAAGTTACTGGTGATGAATCGACGTTGAGTTATTTAAGCCGGCCCTCTTGAAAGGGGGAATGTTTAGCCGGGATCCACCACGCCAGGGCAATCAAATTGCACAATCAAATCGCATGGCTTAAATCGCCTGCAACTCCGTGCTAAGCAGCTGCTCTGAGACTTTGTGGTGTGCAGCAAAGTCCTTTCTTATACTGTACTTCTATACGCCACCCCCCTCTCCACATCTGTATACCCCAGCTTGCCCAAGTGTAATCAAATAAACTCCACGTGGCCCAACAGCGGATTGACAAAAGGGCTCTCGTGCATATATTTATCACTTAAAAATTCGCTGCCTGTTATTATTCATAATCAGCCAACCTGCCGACTTGCAATGCAGTACTCGATATGCGCTACAGCCCCCCCCCGTCCCACCTGCAGAACATCAAGGTTTCTTTTTTTCTCCTGCCACTACAGTTGGACCGTATATTGGACCAGATTCACATCTTCGAGGCGACGTGTGCCAGAGTGCTCGCGAATTCGTCACTTTACTACAGAGGCAGCGGTGTGGGCCCATTGGCCCACGCACGTTCATACTGCGGGTGGATTAAACCTTTAAATGAAAACCCACGGGGTCTGCTTCACGGCGGTCGTTTAAGATCCTGTTACGTTATTTGAAACGAGAGTAGGCCGATGTGTGGCAACGGCACGGTCACAAATTTGGTGGACTGGGCATCTTGAGATGGACTGCACGGGAGGAACGGTGTAAATATTAAGCTTTGACGACATCTCTAAGGGAGTGGCTGAAACTCGGCGCGCACTGCGGATTTTAAGCGCTGTCGCTCGCAATGTGGATAACGGTGGCGTTTTGGCGAAAAATATTTTTCTTGTGAACATTGTAGCCACGTGTTGTGAAATTTATATGAATATTATCTTAATTGTTGGGCCACGGGCTATTGCACTGGCGCACAAAATAACCTACTCGTGACAATTACCGTATTCGCCGGATTATAAGATGCTCTGGGGGAAGTAAGACGCGCCCAGAACGTGTGCTTGGTGGGAATGGCACCGGTCGTAAACACGTACTGGACCCAGCCGTAGCTCTTTCATTCCGTCAGTCTGACAAGCGGCGGGAATCGAACAACTGCGCACTCGGCGGCGGCCGTGCTTTTTTCACCACCCGGCCACCACCGATGGCTTACCCTCTTCTCCCTGCGGGTGCCAGTTGAATCGGAACGTTGTCGCTCGGCAGTGTCTGCCTCTACGAGTAAAAAAGCAACCAAAACGACGCTCTTACCTTGAGAGGTGCCATCGCTGTGCGTTAAGAGGGGGTCCCCAAATTAACGCGAAATTATGGCGGAGAAGCGAACGTGAGCTACGAGCCTAATAAAAACAATCTCAACCCCGAATAACGTCAAAAGATGATCTCATCCAGACCTTGTTCGTATCCGTCTTTGTTAACATCTGTCGCACTTCGATGCATCTCAAGCTTCCACCAATATTACAACACCTCTGTCCCACGTCTAGATCTCGATCTCTCGTCATATCGCTGGGAGTTTATAAGCGCGGTGGGGCGGGGTGGGGGGTCGCAAATAATCCCTGCTTAAGGCTCCCATGGGGCCGGCCACCACCACTAGATACGTACCCAAGAGCTGGGATATGTCCCACACGAATTAGAACTTTTGAAGAAAACCACTGCTGCTCAATCTGTACAATCCTCGATTTTGATTTTAAAAATATAGAAATGTTAACGCTTTCCAACCAAATTGAAAAGCGATAATGAATTTGCCGTGTCCCGTATGTCTGTAACGATTTTTGCAAGATAAATCTCCCGACACGATTGGAACTTTCGTGCGAAGTTGTGTTGCTGTTTGGGGCATGGATGTTCAAAATGAGGGCCCAGGTTGATCAAGGAATGATTTGCGAACCTTCCCCAGGCAGAGAGAACGCTGTGCAAGCTCCAATTGTTTCATTGCAGCGTGTGCACACGGGTGCGAGAGCTACTGTTATCGCCGGTTAAAAAAACACTTTGAAGGACAAACACGTGTTGGAAAGCAAATCCATGCATATTCACGAGCTGTGTTCCTTGTTATTTTGATATTAAGATGTTCAATATCCGTTTGGGCTTGTAATTTATATTTATACAGTTGCCTTGTGCAGCGTCGAGACGCTCGTGCGTCTGGATGCTTTATAAATTCAAGTGATTATCCAGCAGATGGATTGACGAAAGGCTCTTAACTACTGCTGCTGCTACCACGACTGTCGTACGCAGTTATGGGAGTGGACCTTGCAGTGACATCACTTGAGGCCCACAGTGGCGGGGCATGACCATTCATCGAAACATTTGAAAGTATTTCTCAACCATGAGATTTCAAAAGCACGTTAAAACAGCTCAGAACACACGGAGCCCAGGTGCATACATCTACAATTTATCCTCATGGCGGTACCCCGGGGTACCAAATGATACAAAATGGCCGAGGCAATTAAACATTTTTTTTCTGAGACACTTTTTTCCAGGGGTGTACTTAACTCCGCGACTGGGGTAACAATCAATCCGAAATCAGTTCTACTCTGCGATGTCTAAACACAGCGAGGACGATTGCGCTAAAGCCCTGAACGCTCCCGTATGCACCATAGCGCATAATGTACAGCTCGTCGAGATGAGTCGATTGCCGCATCGCCGGCCATCAACGGACTAAAAATTACTGCATCACGGACATTATGCGAGAGCCGGCTTGCCGCCATGAGGTTCATTTGTTGCGTTGCGTTTTGCCGCTGAGGTTTGACTTCGGTCGTAACTGTTTCGGGGTCTCTGACCGCGTGCAAAGCCATGGTTTCATCAACCGCCCCCCGCCTCGCTCGCGTCGTACAATTAAAGCTCAATGAGGCCTCTGCTGCCTTCGCCAAAATTCAATCCTCATGCTTTTTTCCCCCGCGAATGATTCTGCGCGTAAAACATCGGTGGCGCTCGGGAGACGAAGGAGGCCGGGCACGCTGCCGGCCATGCCAGCCGCACGTGCGCTGTGCCAGCTTAGTGGGTACTTGCTGACAGCACTTGCCCTGACAGTCTACACAGCTATACAGGGGAATGCCCGCATGTTTGTGTGTGTGTCTGTTAGGAGCGGAAGCGAAGCGGTTAGCACGTTGCCCGACAAAACCAGGCAATGCGAGATCGATTCCCGTTCACGGCCAACACCAGTGACGATTATCTGAACTGGTCCTGGGCCTCCCCTAGGTCGACTCAGCCTCAAATAAGTTACCACTAGGGAGACAGGCGGCCGGGCGTGGTGTTGGCCACCTACCCCTTCATGCGCCGTGCCGGCCTTCATTTAACAGACTGCCCCAACAGTCTGTTAAATGCTACACGGGGGATCTTTGTGTCTGCGAGTACGCGCGCCTCCGCTTCCTGCTGCCGTCATGGACTGCCGCCCGCTCACCTCTTGCCCTCGTGCATCAGGTCAAACGCCTGGTTGATCTCGGCGAGGGGCAGCGTGTGGGTCACAAATTCGTCCACCTTCAACTTCTTGGCGAGGTAGTCGTCCACCAGGCGCGGCACGCTCTCCACGCTCTTCCACCCTGGCGTCGCGCGCACACGCGGTCACACGCACGACACCCGTCACGCACACGCTGCCACCAACGTCGCTCCGAGTGTTATTCACAGATTAACAAACACGGTTCCCGCCCACCCCCCCCTCCCCCACCGCCGTTTGTCCGGAACAGTCCCGGTGGCGTCAGAGAGGCTGTGGGCGAGCGATATCAGAATCAGACCTGGTTCTTATCCTCTACTTAAGAACATTTGATTTACGAACTTTTAGAGATACGAACGAACCTGGTCCGTATGTCCAGTTGCCTGTTCGGACCGAGAGTCGTAAGTTCAACTCTCGCGCAATAGATGGCGGTGGTGGCATCTACATCTGCAAAATGTGAAGAACCAGTGGCATCTACATCTGCAGAACGTGAAGAACCAGTGGCATCTACATCTGCAGAACGTGAAGAACCAGGTGGTATCTACATCGACAGAACATGAAGAACCAGTTGCATCTACATCTGCAGAACATGAAGAACCAGTGGCATCTGCATCTACAGAACATGAAGAACCAGTGGCATCTGCATCTACAGAATATGAAGAAGCAGTGGCATCTGCATCTACAGAACATGAAGAACCAGTGGCATCTGCATCTACAGAACATGAAGAAGCAGTGGCATCTGCATCTACAGAATATGAAGAAGCAGTGGCATCTACATCTGCAGAACATGAAGAACCAGTGGCATCTGCATCTACAGAACATGAAGAACCAGTGGCATCTGCATCTACAGAATATGAAGAACCAGTGGCATCTGCATCTACAGAATATGAAGAAGCAGTGGCATCTACATCTGCAGAACGTGAAGAACCAGTGGCATCTGCATCTACAGAATATGATGAAGCAGTGGCATCTACATCTGCAGAACGTGAAGAACCAGTGGCATCTGCATCTACAGAATATGAAGAAGCAGTGGCATCTACATCTGTAGAACATGAAGACCCAGTGGCATCTCCAACGTACCCCCAAAAGCGATGCCCTTCCAGGTGCGCCCCAGGACGAGCATGAAGGGCTTCGTCGCGATCTCCTGGCCGGCTGCAGCCACCCCGATGATGACGCTGACGCCCCAGCCCTTGTGGGTCGCCTCCAGTGCCGAGCGCTTGTGACGGAAAGGGTTTACATGGCGATGACGTCAGAGTTGCAGGGCATCGATGTTACGTTACCACGCCCACGGCAATCGTTCCGTGGTACGAATAAAAACTGCCGGCAAAGCTTAGTCGTTGCCGCCGTTAAGAATCTGTAGTTTAAATTACTTTTTTGCGGTCTCATTTGAATCGTTTCTCTTTTTTTTTATATCTCGTACACACCGGCAACTATAACTTGGCATGTAATGATTCTTTACCTGCCCCAGCGATTCGATGGAGATGAGCAATTAAATTCGTAAATCAATTTGTCTCGGGTTTGCAATCTCGTTTTTGTTTTCTTTCATATAGCAAGGGCGCTTAAATGCTTCGGCAACTCAAAAGCACCTTACGCCAAAAATCACATCTCATTCATTCCAATGCTCTGCTGCAGTATAGCCATGTGCGGGGGGGGGGGGGGGGGGGGGCACAAACGATGCCCCCAACAGGGGAGGGGGGAGATTCTGCCAGTTGGTATTTTTGTCACAACGAAGTGAGTATTTGAGTGAACACCCCCCCCCCCCCACTCGATGCACGCAATCAAAACGGAGCTCCCATTCACACAGACCGGCACTGCTCTCGTCGCCCGAGTCGCTAATGCCCACATTTAGTCGGGGGACCAGCGCGTCAACTCGAGCAGCCGTGCGCGGTTACGGTGTCGATGACACCCTCCGCCCCCCTCCCCCGCCCCCCCCGCGCCGACCCACCATGGTGCCGACGTTGCCGATGCACTCGAAGGAGTAGTCGACACCACCGTCGGTCATCTCCGCGAGCACCTGCTCCACCGGCTTCGCGTGGTCCTTGGGGTTGAGGAACTCGGTCGCCCCGAACGTGCGCGCCGTCTCGAACTTGCCCGGGTTGATGTCGACCCCGATGATGCGGCTGGCGCCCGCCGCCTGGCACCCCATGATGGCGGCGAGGCCGACGGCGCCCAGGCCGAAAACGGCGCACGTGGAGCCGGGCTCCACCTGGCCGGGCGGCGCCACGCGGTTGAGCGACGGGGGTCAAGTGGCAACGGCGGTCCACACACACGGCTCAGTCGCTCTGTCGAAACGTCGAGTGGCCGAGGTGGTGGCCGAGGTGGTGGCCGGGGTGGTGGCCGGGGTGGTGGCCGGGGTGGTGGCCGGGGTGGTGGCCGGGGTGGTGGCCGGGGTGGTGGCCGGGGTGGCTCAGAGGCTCAGGGCACTCAACTAGCACCGCTCCTTCAAACCCGGGACATCTCGGCGATGCCTGCCCAGCGCTGGTACCGCTGTGGCAACCACCCACTCTCCTAGTTCTACCAATTTAAACCTCTCCCATTCTCAAGAAAAACTTAAATAAAACGCATGGTCACGTAGGCTCCTACGAGGTCATGCTGCAGGGGCTTGTGGCCCAGTTTGGCGCCAGCTATTATAGAGTTGCGTTCACGTCGCTGCGGTTCTTTGCGGTGAGCCGAACGTCTTTAAAAACGACGGCGCTGTAAGCCTCTCTTGAATAAAATTAACGCGAACCGCTCGCGCGTTCCGAGGTTCAGCGGTGAACGGGGGCACCCACCCTGCAAACGTATTCATCACGGGACACCGAGCACGGCTCTCAAAATACTTTGGCGTCACCGACACAGCCACCCACCCCGGCAGCATAACAAAAGGCTGCTTAATCTTAGCTTCCTTATCTACTTCTGCCTCCGGCATCACAAAGCTTCAGTTTGAACTCTGTACATTGCGCCCACCCCGTTCCTCACACCGCCCACACACTCACCATGGCCCCTCCCCTCCCTCCATCCCCCGCGACTATATAACTCCTCGTCACAGCCATCTCTTAGACACACTTCAGCAGTTGTGCTTTCTCTACGTTGTCCCCACCTGAAGAAGGATTTTTTACCTAACGTGACTTTACCGAAAAAAAACCAAAGAGTAACAATCGCCTGGCTCATCAAACCGCCTCGACGTAAACAAAAATCACGGCCCGCCGCTCCGCTCCTCCACACCAACGCGTGCCGTAACGCAGTTAAGACGTGGACCGTTGGCGGAGCCGACGCATTTTTCCGAACTCCCCCACCGTCACCCCCCCCCCCCCGCCCACCTTGGCGGTGTTGAGGGCGGCGCCGTATCCCGTGGCGACGCCGCACCCCAGCAGGCAGACGCGGTCGAGCGGCGCGGCCGGCGACACCTTGGCCACGGACACGTCGGCCACCACGGTGAACTCGGAGAACGTGCTCGTGCCCATGAAGTGGAAGAGGCGCTGGCCCCGGCAGGAGAAGCGTGACGTTCCGTCCGGCATTAGTCCCTGGCCCTGCGTCACCCTGACCGACCGACCGGTGGGGAAGCCCGAGGCCGGAGAAGCCGGATCGACAGGCGGGTTTGCGCCGAGTTACGAGGGCAGGGCGATCGAAGCTATCAGGAGAAGACTTGCGACAACAAAAACCTATCAACTCTGCGCCTGTTGGGGTTAGCAATGTCCGCGTCCGGGTTACGGTTGCTCAGGATTTTCCATTGCACTCTCGGCATCTGCCGAGAGTGCAATGGAAAATCCGTCGAGTATTCGAGCACGTTACATGGGCGAATTAGGTACGCTCTTATCAAGACGGCTTTATTTGGAACGTAGCACCGTGGTAACTTGGCACCGTGACACCCTGGCGTGTGATACTTGGGCACATCGCCCAAGAGATGAAGCAATACTGTATATTGCATTAATAAACATTGAGCAAACAAGCGAACGGGCTCAGCACAAACCTGATTTTCTGGCAGAGGTTCGTCTTGGGGCTCAGGCAGAATTTGCATTCCCCACACTGCGGGATGTAGAGAGGAATCACAGCATCGCCTGCAACACACGGACACAGGCAGCGGTAACACCCAGGGCACGTTCTCATCGCTGGATCGAAGTACCGTGACCTCCCGAATATTCGGGGTCACGGTGGGGGGAGGGAGTTTCGGCTGGGATTAAAAGAAACAAATGTAAATCAGCATACACATCACGATGATTGCTTACCTTCGTAAACAAACGAGCGCTTAATAGGTAGGGTGTGTCGTCTGTATTTCGTTGTTCAAGGAATCGGTTTCGCGGCCAATGACTTTGCAGCAATCACGCATGAGTCACTGGCAAGTGAGGAGCAGATGAGAATAATTAACCTGTCGGATGAGAATAATTAACCCGTCCTACAAGTAGTAAAGATAGCCTATTTATATTCGATGCCAGAGCAGTAGGTGCGCCCCAACTATTGAAGGACTAAGATGGCGGAGCAGAAGAAAGTGGAACGGCAACGTTTTCAGTTCTCCATTGAAATGGGAGGCAGTGAGCCCCACAGGGCTGAGCGAGCCAACGTACACATACGGACGGACAGACAGATGTACTAAAGTACGGATGTACGTACGGCAGAGGTCGCAAATGGGTTTTGATTCCTTACCCGTACCCGGCCACACCAGGGTCGCAAATGGGTACCCGTACCCATACCCGGCCTGGTACGGATACCCGTTCCCTACCCGTACCCGTACCCTACCCGAAATGAGTGACAAACGGTTACTCACCAGTGACTCACGGCCTACCCGTACCTGTACTCGGCCGCACCAGGGTCGTACACGGGTACCCGTACCCGTACCCGGCCGGGTACGGGTAGCCGGGTATCGGGTAGGGTACGGGTATCGGGTACCCGGTTGCGACCTCTGACGTACGGTCGGACGTACGGACAGACAAACGGATCTGCAGACGTACGTCCGTGCGTAAGTCCGTGCGTACGTCTGTGCGTACGTCCGTGCGTACGTCTGTGCGTACGTCTGTGCGTACGTCTGTGCGTACGTCTGTGCGTACGTCTGTGCGTACGTCTGTGCACGCGTGTCTCACCGGGCTTCACGCGCGTGACGCCCTCGCCAACGCTCTCCACGATGCCGCCGCCCTCATGCCCCAGCACCACGGGGAAGACGCCCTCCGGGTCCAGGCCGCCCAGCGTGTACGCGTCCGTGTGGCACACGCCCGTCGCCACGATCTGCAACACACACCCAAAGATAAAGATCCCTCCCCACCACCACCACCGTGTAGGCTACTACGCAGGCTGTCGGGGCGAGTGCTGTTAGCGAGGAGCGCCTATGAAGGCCAGTACGGTACACGAGGGCGTGGGTGGCCAGCACCACGCCCGGCCGCCTTTGGCTTCCCAGTGGCGATGTTTTTACGCACCTCACCAGGTACTCATTTGAGGCTGAGTCTACCTAGGGGAGGCCCATGACCGGTTCAGATAATCGTTACTGGTGTTGGGCGTGAGCGGGAATCGAACCCGAGCCGCCGGGTTCATAGTGCAGCGTGCTAACCACTGCAAAGACAAAGATCCCCCGTATAGCCTTCACAGACTGTAGGGGCAAGTGCTTATAGCAAGCACTTATGAAGGCCAGCACGGTACACGAGGGGGTGGGTGTCCAACACCACGCCCGGCCGCCTTTGCCTCCCTAGTGGCGATATTTGCACATCGCACCAGGTACTCATTTGAGGCTGAGTCGACCTAGGGGAGGTCCAGGACTGGTTCAGATAATCGTCACTGGTGTTGGCCGTGAGCGGGAAACGAACCCGAGTCGCTAGGTTCGTAGCGCAGCGCGCCAACCGCATAGATGACGAAGATTCCCCGTATAGTCTTAACAGACATGCTGCCAACTTTCAAGCTTTATCCACAAAGTACAAAATAATTTGCGAATTTAGCTGTTTGGATTTGTCTCATCATAAGCACAGACTCATCTGTATTTCTACCAAATGTCTGTTACTCTAGCCCTTCGATCAACATCATTCTAATTTACATCAGTCACTCAAAACTCACACGTGTATCAGAGGTCGCAATCGGGTACCCGATACCCGTACCCTACCCGAAACCCGGCTACCCGTACCCGGCCGGGTACGTGTACGGGTACCCGTTTGCGACCCTGGTGCGGCCGGGTATGGGTACGGGTAGGCCGTGAGTCACTGGTGAGTAACTGTTTGTCACTCATTTCGCAACGTCTTGTCTCTTCTCACAATTCAAGTTCCTAGAATCAACCCACCCGCGCCTGCAAAATGGCTTCATCCCAGAGGTCGCAATCGGGTACCCGTACCCTACCCGATACCCGGCTGGGTACGGGTAGCCGGGTATCGGGTAGGGTACGGGTACCCGTTTGCGACCTTGGTGCGGCCGGGTACGGGTAAGGAATAAAAACCCGTTTGCGACCTCTGACGTGTATGAAGGAACTCAGTCGCGGGGCCTCAATGTCTCTGACCCATGCATAACCGGGTTCACAACCCACCTTGATCCGGAGTCGAGACCTTCAATCGCGGGTGGCGAAAAAACACAGACGTGAACCCAGGATCTCAGCGGAGCCGGCTCCGTGTCCCTAACCCTGCCCCACCGCGCACCGCACAGCGTGCGGAGGTGCCAACCGCGCCCCACCTTGATGCGGACTTCATGGGCACGTGGTGGTTCAACCTCCACCTGCTCGATGACGAGCGGCTTCTTGGGCTCCCAGGCCACAGCGGCGCGGCACGTGATCACCTGCAGAGACACAGGGGGGGGCGGGGGCGCGGGTTAACGGCGTTAACGAGCGAACCCATCGTCAGAAGCAACCCCAATTGGAGGGGCTGCAACGGTGCATCGAATTGTCGATTCGTGAGACTCAGCGATACGTGCGCCAGCCATGTGCATGTGAAATATGATTAAGTTTTGCAATATAAATGTGTCGTTAAACCTGCCACCACCCAACACGTTCAGTTAGTGACGTGTGTCATGGATTGCAAATGTGGGGTTACTCTCCATCACACCGGTGTGCTGTACTAGTAACGAATTGTTTAAGTGGCAAACCTTACTAATTGGCTGTGTTAAACTGGATTTTACAACTTGTGCATATATGTACAGTGGGTTTAGGGTAATGGAGCGGGTGAAACTGTACATGAGGGAAAACAAATGGCAAATTCGGTATGAAAATTAATCAAAATTTTTTTAAATTCTTGAATCAAATAAGAGAAATGAAATGGAACAATTTCACTCCGTGGCTTTTTCCCACCTCATCTCGCCTCTCCTTCGTTCAGTCGTGTCACTCTCTGTCTCTCTCTGTCTCTCTCTGTCTCTCTCTGTCTCTCTCTGTCTCTCTCTGTCTCTCTCTGTCTCTCTCTGTCTCTCTCTGTCTCTCTCTCTGTCCGTCCTTCTCCCTGTGGCCAATTTCGTTTTCAATCCTTCCCCCTGCTTGCACCCGTACCACTGTAATCAACTCCCCCTGTGCACGAAGCAGTCCCCCTCCTTCACCCTCCTTCTGTTCCTCTCTTGAAGCCTCACCACCTTCCTCTCCATCGCCCGTTCCCATCCTCTTCCCTCGCCCCTCCACCCCGTCCCTCCCCTGTAGCCCTTTCGTCACCACGTGCCCTCTGTTACGGTCACTCTTTATCCTCAGCCATAGCACTGCCCTTGATATCTAAATCACTCGATGTTTGGACCGCTTTGAAAGTGGCCTGAGCTAAGGAGCTCGATGAATATAAACTAAGATAACGGGACGACTGTTATGTGCAGTCATCAGTGACTAGGCTGAGATCATCCACTCACTAGACTTTAGAACCCGGTTTAATCACTTGGTGTCTGAAGCCCGGTATCTGTAAACTATTAAAACTACATTATTTTTATTTGACCAGGTATGGCCCACTGAGCTATATAGCTCTTTAGCAGAAGCGACCTGGCCACGAATTGGCTTATCGCGTGGAAATTTATAGCAGCCAAATACTCCAAAACGCGTGATGTCGATTCGAAACGTAGGTGGCGAAACTGGAGGACACGGAAAAAAGAAACCACGCGAACACGGGGAAAACACGCAAGCTCCAAATATACAGGAGGCGTCAGGGGTCGGGATCGAACCCATGATCTCCTGTACACCACCCTTTGATGCTGCTAATCCTGCATAATGCACGGGCATAAGTAGTACTAATCACATACCTGATTTCCCATAAATATGCTACATTTCTCTTGATATGCAAATTCCTCTGTCAAGGCACTCTTCCCCCTCCAACCCAGCTTAAATATACGCTGCCAAGCCTGGTGGTGTTCATTTAGACGCTGTCTTTCTGACAGACCTGTTCTTCACCTGAGGACGGCTGCTTGCGTTGTGGCCGAAACGTCGTGAGAATTATGTTTTATTTTTTATTATTTTATTATTTCCATTCTACGTGACTTTACCGAAAGAACCAAGAAGATGAATCCCTGCAGTCACGAAAGCTTTGAATCGAAACAGGCGAGGTAGTTAACATCTCATCACCGCGGCGCCGGATTCAAACCCAGGCTCCGAGCAGCGCAGGCTTGGCAGTTAGTCGATTCCACCCTGTTAGTCAGTCGATTCCACCCTGTGTAAAGCTTCAGCAGAATTCAGTGAGTGATCACCAAAGAGTGAGACGGCACAGACTCCCAGAGTTTGTGTCAGAGTGACGCTGCAAATTCAAACTGCGAGCCGCAATGCTTTCGGACTTTTTTGCTTCTTGTGACCCAATGGTTGCAAATTCCATTCAGGCAAGAAGGGCTCTCTGTTCCAGTTAATATGCAAACGCGGAGTGGAATTTGTTGGTTGTTGTGAGGCTGACATGGGAATTCGTAGTTTGACTCGGCACGGGCGGTGGAAAGGTTAGACCTCATCTAACCTGCAATGCAGTTCAATGATTGATTAAAAAAATTAACCGGTAAAAACAAAGTTTTTCACTATAAATCCTTTATATGCGTGGCATCGGTTTTATTTTATTATTCATTTCTGTTTCATTTTTATCACATTGGTATTTTAAATTAAATATAAGGAAAGTCGTATATAAGGATTATAAGGTTTTCAGTTTTTGTATGATTGTTTATATTGTACATTTTTGTTGTTTTCTTGAATAATTTTCTGTGTTTAGGAAAAATATATGATTGTGTTGGTGAAATTTTTTTTTTCCCTAAAAAGTGGAAAATTTTGGAAAAATTTTTTCACGAAAATAAATTGTCACGCACAACGAGTCTGTGTGCAAAATGTCAGCTCGATTGGATCACGGGAAGTGGGTTAAAAAACGACCGAAAGATTTGCACGGTCGTAAGCGCGCAAGCAAGCAAGTGAACTTAATATAAAGGATTTAAAAAACAACGGCGTATTACTCATTAAACATGTATACGGTCGTTTATATTTTCTGCAATATAATTGCCTATTGGCTTAAGGACGTGCAATTAGCAGTGCCGCCAAACACAAACTGTACACAAATATTCAGAGGTTTTACCCTTTCTGGCAATAAAACATGCTGAAAGCTGTCAACCCGTACCGTTTAACCAAAATATCCCACAAAAAGCACCGCACACCAACGCTGTGTGCAAAAATCCCAATGGGATGCAAGTCAAACAACAACAACCACAACTTAAATTAAGGCCATCAGCCTAACTCCGTTCTACAACAAAACAAACATGGGCAAACCAAAAAACTTTTAGAAAATCACCAAAATAAAGCCATGAAAGCAATGAAACAATGTAACAGTGATCATAGGAACAGCAGAGTAGCAAGCCAAAGTTCTGAAAACGACTTTGTATTTGAGCAGTTAGGGCCCACAAAAGCCACACACCACAGCATGCTGTATCACAGATGATAGCTCAACGAAGCTGAGATCTAAAACGCAGTCGCCAAAAGCGGTGTTCTCGATTCTAAACGTGGAGTTGGGGAAAAAAACAAACCCCGTAACGGAGCAAGAAACAGCAGCGGCACAAACAACAACATTGCTACAGCCACAACATCAGCAGCAGTAGCAGCAGCAGAAGTGACAGAGAAGCAACAGCAGCAATAACAGCAGCAGCAACAGCAACAAGATGAGCAAAATGAATCAACAGCAGCAGCAGAAGCAAAAGTAACAGTGGAGCAAAACAACATCAGCAGCATAAACTACAACAGCAGCAGCAGCAGCATAGACTACAACATCATCAGCATAAACTACAACAGCAGCAGCATAAACTACAACTACAACAGCAGCATAAACTACAACAACATCAACAGCAACATAAACTACAACATCAGCATAAACTACAACAGCAACAATATCAGCAGCAGCATAAACTACTGCAGCAGCATCAGCAGCAGCATAAACTACAACAGCAGCATAAACTACAACTACAACAGCAGCAGCAGGAGTAGCGGCCTGAATCGACAGTAGCTCGTGGTGAAACGCAGTCCATACTTTCCCAGCAGTATCGGCCATCGCTTGAGTGAGTGGAGGAGGCGGCAGGGGCAAGTCCGGCAGTGATGATGGTGATCGTGGTGGTGATGATGGTGGTGGTGATGATGTTCGTGATGATGGTGGTGGTTGATGGTGGTGGTGGTGATGATGGTGGTGTTCGTCACTGAACCCGGTTGGCTGCGACGAGAAACGCCTCCCCACTACGCAAAGACAAAGGTCCCCGCCCCGTGTAGCCCTCTACAGGCTGTTGGGGCAAGTGCTGTTGGCGAGAGGACGCCGGCTTGACAACGCACGTGGTGGGGGTGGGTGGGGGTGGGTGGGCCATCTAACCACGCCCGACCGCCTTTGTCTTCCACCCCCTCCCCCCCCAGCGGCGATTATTGTACACGCTGCACCAGGTGCTCACATTGGAACGTAAAAGTAATATTTAATATTTTTAAAAACACGCTGTAATGAAATGTACCGTGCGAGTACTGTAATGGAAGAATTCCAGGAAGTGGCCCCGAAAGTTGCCATCACGTAAAAGGGCCAAACGTGAGTTGAGAGTGGACAATTAGACCCAAGCCGAAACATAATAAATAAAAATAATGTTTAAAAATAAGTATAACCCGTAATAACAAAGTTTTTCACTATAAATCCTTTATATGCGTGGCGGCTAGAGTCCTCTCGTCCTCTGACTTGAGATGGCTGCCACCTATGGGTCAGATGATTGTCTGCAGTATTAAACAATTGGTAATTAAATATTTAATTTGTTTTCCCTAAACAGTGTAAAATTTTGGAAAAAATTTTTCACGAACATTAATTGTCTCGCACAACGAGTCTATGTGCAAAATGTCAGCTCGATTGGATCACGGGAAGTGGGTTAAAAAACGACCGAAAGATTTGCACGGTCGTAAGCAAGCAAGCAAGCACGCAAGCACGCAAGCAAGCAAGCACGCAAGCGAACTTAATATAAAGGATTTAAAAATATATATTTTTTAATGATATATATATATTTTAATGATAGAATATAGTATTGTCATCAGCATGACATAAGTATAATAATGATAAAAACAACAGCAATCATTGCCAAGTCATCAATTCCCAAGGAAAAGCGATACCTGATCAAACCAAGAGCATCACAACCACCACAACTTTATGGGCTACCAAAAATTCACAAACCTGATGTCTCATTAAGACCCATAGTTAGTACAATAGGCTCTGCCACGTACAAATTAGCACAATACGTAAGGGGCCGTCCATAAATGACGTCACGCGATTTGGGACGATTTTGCCCCCCCCCTCAAATATGACGTCACAAAGCTTTGCCCCCCCCCCCCCCAAAGCCATATTTCCATTTAGAAAATAAAACATGCTTCAAATGGCTTTAAACGATTGTCATTGTAGTGCGTATTTAATGTGGCGCTGCACTCTGATGTTGTAGGAGAAAACATTTATTAAAAATTTCAATTTAATTAAGTAGAACGTGTTGTCTATATTTATTAAAAGTTGCGCATTTTGATGTGACGTTACATTTCTCAAACGCCCCCCCCCCCTCGTCACACATCGTTACAAATGTCTGACCCCCCCCCCCACCCCTAGATGCGTGACGTCATATATGGACGGCCCCTGACTAAACAAATACAGCCCTACATCGGTAAGACCTCTTCGTTCATCAAAAACTCTGAACATCTCGTAAATATAATTAAAGATATTAAGCTTACTCCTAATGGGTCAACGAGTCAATTAAATTACTCGACTTTTCCAATCGCAGCCGTTTTTGCGATTTGCTAATCCCATTGTTTCAAATTGAGATTTCGATTTGAAATCGATTAATCGTTCAGCCCTAGTGTGGGTGGCCAACACCACGCCCGGCCGCCTTTGTCTCCCTAGTGGCGATGTTTACACATCGCACCAGATACTCATTTGAGGCTGAGTCGACCTAGGGGAGGCCCAGGACCGGCTCAGATAATCGTCACTGGGTGTTGGCCGTGAGTGGGAGAATCGAACCCGGGTGGTTAGGCCAGGTTCGTAGTGCGCTAACCGCTGTACCACCGCTCCTATTGACGTCAATGTTGCGTCGATTGCGTGAGACTGCGGTGCCCTCTCGTGGCTGCCGTGTGAATTATTCTTTGGTTCTTTCGGTAAAGTCACGTATAAAGATAAAATACTAAATTAAATTAAATACTAGCATACTAATTTAATTTATTATTATTGTATCTTTATACGTGACTTTACCGAAAGAACCAAAGAATAATTCCTGCAGTCACGAAAGCTCCACATTAAGTTTGCCGTGTGAATGTCTGAAACCTTCCCCTCTCCGTCCTCCCCCAGGTCGACTCAGCCTCAAATGAGCACCCGGTGCGGAGTGTATAAACATCGCCACTAGGGAGACAAAGGCGGTCGGGCGTGGTGCTGGCCACCCACCCCCTCGTGTGCCGGTCCGGTCTTCATAGGGGTTCCTTGCTGACAGCACTTACCCCAACATTCTGTGCAGTGTGCAGGCTATACGGGGGATATTTGTCTTTGTAGCGCAGGTACAATCACGCTCGTGTGACTGTGATCCGTACATATTTAAGGCCGAGTCGACCTAGGGGTGAAGACGTAGCACCGGTTCAGGTATCACTCGTCACTGATGTTCGCCGTGACTGGTAATCGAATGTATCTGGTTCACACACTCAAGACAAAGACCCCCTTATAGCCTCGAACAGACTGTTAGCGAGCACCCATTAATATGAACGGCACGGGACGGTGGGTGGCCAGCACCACTCCCAGCCGCCTTTGTCTCCCCGGTGCAGATGTTTGCTCACACCGCACCAGGTACTCATTTGAGGTTGAGTCGACCGAGGGGAGGCACAGGACCGGTTGAAATAATCGTCAATGAAATAAACCGTGAGCGGGGAATCGAACCCCTGTCGCCGTGCTCGTATCCCAGCGCGCTAACCGCTGCGCCACCGCTCCCCTCCACTCAGACACGCGTACATACACGCTCACTCGCGTACATACGCACACACGTAGACACTTGCTGACATAACCACTCACACCAATAACAATACCCGCCATGCGCCACTGAGTGACGTCCTCACGGCGTCTGTGCCAGGCCAGGTGCACTTTGAGGCCACGTGAAGTGCCGAAGGCTTCGCTGACAGGAGGAGGTCACGGGACAGACCCAGCAGGTGCCATGGGTTGGCTGACTGAGATGACTGGCCGATGCACCAGCTGTGCCCCCATCTGTGCCAACTTGCTGTGAGCGTCACTCTTCTGCCCTCCGTTGTTGTTGGAGGGCGACTGCCTCCAACTGACCAGTAGCGTCCTTCACGAGCCTCATACAGGGAGAGACACGCAGGTCACTCACAGATACACACACACGTCTCACAGTTTACACAGGAAGACAACTGTTGTAAGAACACTGGAATTGACACCGTAAACTATGGGTTATTGTCGGTATAAACTGAGGAGTGTGCGATAAAGTTCCAGAGTGACCGTCTCTTTGCTTCACAATATGTGCATAAGCGTACCATATATCTAGACTAAAAACAATTTTTATTTTATTTTACCAGCAGCCACATACTCTAAACGCGTGATGTTGATTCTAAATGTGAAGAGAAAACCCGGAGAAATCGGAGAATATCCATGCGACCATAGAGAGAGAGACACGCAAACTCCAAATATACAGGCTTCGTCAGGGTCGAGATCGAACCCACGACCTCCTGTATACCAGGTGAGGTAGTTAACATCTCGCCACCTTTCCTTGAGTTCATAGCCGTGCAGCGGCGTCAATATGTCATCGTGTTTATGTTCAAGAATTCGGGGGGTGATAAATATAACCATGATCATCCATTTCCTATCCACTGCTGGATGAAAAACCTCCCAACACTACCTTGATCATCATCATCCCAATCATTAGTGAGTGTATTTCCATTGCCGGATGAATGAATACCTTAAAAGTATCTCAAACGAGGATGAAAATAATCACAATCCAAAAATGTTCAACCATCATCACGATCATGAGTTTATTGTCATGGTCATCATCATCATTCTTCAATCAATAAAAATAATAAAACATGATTATTCTTAAATCCTTCATTATTTATTAATTATGACATCACCAGCACGGTAATAATAACGCTAGTACGATGTATGATACATTAATGAGTGTGGTGCCCTCTTGTCTCCCCGTATCTGCACGAGGCTCATCGTGTGCGCTGCAGTTAAAAGTGGTGGGGAGCGGTGGCGCAGTGGTTAGCGCGCTGCGCTACGAATCGGGCGAATCGAGCTCGATTCTCGCTCACGGCCAACACTAGTGACGATTATCTAAACCGGTCCTAGGTCGACTCAGCCTTAAAACGAGTACCCGGTGCGGCGTCGGTAACTTCAGCACCGATGTGGTGCCGGCTGCCCACCGGTCTGGTAGAGGCTACACGGGTACCTTTGTCTTTGTGTGCTGCTACCGCTGCTGTATGGGGCACGGGTTCCCGTGGTGACCTAGGCGCGCACACACAAACGCGCCGCCCCCTCGCCCCCCTCTTAAATGCGGCTGCGGAATGAGAGGTTTGGAGGGTGGGGGGAGTAGTGACACGGATCGAACCGGTAAAGGCCGAGGTGAGCGGCGCTGGTGGCCGCTCGTGTCGCTTCTCCCCATCGCGACATCTCTCCTTCACAGGTGAGTTACAAGGACGTGGGATTTTTTACGGGGGGGGGGCGGGTTTTCGGAGCCCCCCCGGGAGGGAGCCCCCCTATCCAAATTTCTTGGGTAGGAGCATTCATGCTCACCCCCCCCCCTTTCTTGCTACGTGGCCCCCCTCCGCCTCCAATCGGTAACCGGTTTAACGCGTCCGGCACGGGAGCGGAGGAGGCGCCGTGGTTTTCGCGTCCTGCGTCTGCGAACCCGGTAAACCGAGGTTCGATTCCCGGCCACGGCCAATTGCGGCGGTGGTGGCGGCTGATATCTGACGCGGGTGCTGGGTTCTCAGTGAGCCCGACTCAGCCATAAACTAGAGCACTGATTGACAAACGAGACGGCGAACACCAGCACTGGGGGAGACAAAGGCTGGCTACACCGCCCTCTATGTGCGCTGTTTGATAGCTCTAATAACTTAATAGGCACTCGCTAACCGCACTTGGCAGTCTAAATTTGTATCGTTAAGCGGGTTGTGAGCACTACCAACAAACCCACTCGTACCCATTTTGGCCAAACCACTTACCTCCTTGATCAATATGGGTATGCGGACGTATTTGTGTGTATGTTGTAGCCTATCTGTGTATCTTTGTGTGTCTTTGTTTGTGTGTCTTTGTTTGTGTGTCTAGTTTATGTATGTGTTGTGCGTGTGTGTTGGTGCGTGCAGCCTATGTGTATAGTATATAGGTCTACGTTGTGTGTATGCATGTGCGTTGTGTGCTTATGTGTTGTGTGCTGTGTGTGGTTGCGTGTGTGTAATGGGGATCGGTGGTGCAGTGGATAGCACGCTGCGCTACGACCCGAGTTCATTTCCCGCTCACAGTCACCATCAGTGGCCTCCCCTAGGTCGACTCAGCCTCAAATTAGTACTTAATGCGATGAGTAAACATCGCCACTCGGGAGACAAAGGCGGCCGGGCGTGGTGCTGGCCACCCAACCCCCTTCATGTGCCGTGCCGGCCTTCATAGGTGCTACTCGCTAACAGCCCTTGCCCCCAAAGTCTGTCAAAGCTAGACGGGTGATCTTTGCCCTGTACACAGCACTGTGTGTTTTGTAGGTGTGTAGTGGATGCATAAATGCGCACACGTTTGACCTCAGTTTTATGGCCTCAATAGGCGCTTGCCAACAACACGCGCTCCAAACAGCCCTCGATTAACTTTCGTTGGGGGTTGTCTGTGTGGCCTTGGGTGTGTTTTGCGCCGCGCGTGGATTTGTGTGGCTGTTGGTGTGACAGGCAACGCCGTGCCGATGATCTTCGGTGAAGGCGAATGCTGCACGCGATGTACCTTGTTTCGTGCCATTCTCGACAGGATTGCATCTCCTGGGAAACTTGGATTTGGAAGGGTAGTTATGCGGCGGGGGATTCAATGTTCTTTACAGGGACTCCTCTACTTACGAACGAGTTAGGTTCCAGAGGTCTGTTCGTAAGTCGATTTGTTCGTAAGTCCAACTTTACTCCTGTCGATTCCAAACATGTTGTACGGCGTGGACAGTCACTAAACACGGGGAATGGCTTTAAAGTTGCATAATCTCCTGTAGATGTAGATGCCCACTGGTTCTTCACGCTCTGCGGATGTAGATGCCACCTGGTTCTTCATGTTCTGTAGATGTAGATACCACCTGGTTCTTCATGTTCTGTAGATGTAGATGCCACTGGTTCTTCACGTTCTGCAGATGTAGATGCCACTGGTTCTTCACGTTCTGCAGATGTAGATGCCACTGGTTCTTCACGTTCTGCGGATGTAGATGCCCACTTGTTCTTCACGCTCTGCGGATGTAGATGCCACTGGCTCTTCACGTTCTGTAGATGTAGATACCACCTGGTTCTTCATGTTCTGTAGATGTAGATGCCACTGGCTCTTCACGTTCTGTAGATGTAGATACCACCTGGTTCTTCATGTTCTGTAGATGTAGATGCCACTGGTTCTTCACGTTCTGTAGATGTAGATGTCACTGGTTCTTCACGTTCTGTAGATGTGAATGCCACTGGTTCTTCACGTTCTGCAGATGTAGATGTCACTGGTTCTTCACGTTCTGTAGTTGTAGATGCCACCACCGCTATCTATTGCGCGGCGGTTTAAATTACGACTCTCGGTCCAAATAGACGGCTGGACATACGGACCATGTTTGTTCGTGTCTCTGAAAGTTCGTAAGTAGATTGTTCGTAAGTAGAAGAGTCCCCGTACAGAGATTAAAAAGCCCATTCCTTATATTCGATGCCCATTGACAGACCACCATAATTTACCTACAACCAAATCTCGCGGAATGCGCCAGATCTCGTAAAATAGCTAAAGCTAATCAGGGGGTGCGCCTAGGGATGTGCTTGAATGGCCGTGTTATGCATGGGGGCATTACTCAGTAAACGTGGAACCTTGGGGCAACGTTGGCATTTAAACGTTGGCTCAACGTTGGGATATTTACTGGGTATGTGCGCGCGTGTTCGCGTGTTTGTGCATTTGTGTCGGCGACCCGAGTTCGATTCACGCTCACGGCCAACACCAGTGACGATTATTATCTGAACCGGTCCTGGTCTTCCCCTAGGTCGGCTCAGCCTCAAATGAGTACCTGGGTGCGGTGTGTAAACTTCACCACTCGGGGTACAAAGACGGCCGGTCGTGGTGTTCGCCACCCACCCCCTTGCCGGCCTTCATAGGTGTTCGCTAACAGCGCTTGCCCCAACAGTCTGTTAAGGCTACACGGGGGGATCTTTGTCTTTATCTCTGAGTTGCCAACAGCGAGCGTTGCCAACTTTGACACGGATCAAACCCCCGAACCGATTTACCGAACAAAGGGGATGACACTTCCCAGACTACCCGGGTAAACCCAGGACAGGTGGTAACCCCCCCCCCCCTATTGATGGCACTCGTACGACACGAAGGGCGACCTTTGCCATTGTGCTTGTGTGTGCTTGCGTGTGCGAGGATGCAAAACAACGGAGGCGGATCGCCGAAACCCAAACAACGCGCACGGCCAAACGCACAGTCCCACTTCCGTCTACCAACATTTGTCTTCGCAGCGATTTGGTGACTCGCTGTTGTCCACCGTGATGCACGCACTTCGCGTGCACAATACGTGCGCGTGTGTGCACGCGTCACGTGCACGTGGTGGAATGGTCACAGCACAATGGCCTTTTTGCGAGCCAAAGGGTTGTAGAGTCAGTAGATACTACTGTAGTCAGTAGATACTACTGTAGAGTCAGTAGATACTACTGTAGTCAGTAGATACTACTGTAGAGTCAGTAGATACTACTATAGAGTCAGTAGATACTACTGTAGAGTCAGCAGATACTACTATAGAGTCAGTAGATACTACTGTAGAGTCAGTAGATACTACTATAGAGTCAGTAGATACTACTGTAGTGTCAGTAGATACTACTGTAGAGTCAGTAGATACTACTATAGAGTCAGTAGATACTACTATAGAGTCAGATAATACTATAGAGTCAGTAGATACTACTATAGAGTCAGTAGATACTACTGTAGAGTTAGTAGATGCCACTTTAGAGTCCTGTTGGATCAACTTTTTACATCCACATCTGGGGCCATTAAAAAAAGACGTTTCGACTCAGGCCTTGTGAAAGGCTCTTATAATTTAGTTGACGGACGAACGGAACGTCAGGCTTTATTAATAGACCCCCCCACCCTGCTCCACACCCTTCGGTGTGGGTCAGAGGTCGCGATACCCGTACCCTACCCGATACCCGGCTACCCGGCCAGGTACGGGTACGGGTACCCGTTTGCGACCCTGGTGCGGCCGGGTACGGGTACGGGTAAGGAATCAAAACCCGTTTGCGACCTCTGGTGTGGGTACAAAAGCAAGGAGGCACTGCAGGGCACATTGATGGGGACATGCGGCTTCGGTTCTCAGATGTGGAGTGCCTGGTCCGCATAATTTTTCCGGATGAGGATTCGCCCCCACGCCACTGAAAGGTTGTGGGGGTTATGTGACCATACTTACCCTCGCTGGTCAGTGCGGGTTGGTGAAAGCAGGGGGAGCACAGTCGTGGCAGCATAGAAGTAAAACTAGAGCCTGGTTGGTACTCGGATGTGGTGACCTGCACCACGGCTTGCCAGGTGTTGTAGGTGTGCACTTGCGCGGATACGTGATCTCAGAAAATGGCAGTGGGTGGGTGGGGGTGGGGCTGGGTGGGGAGGGGCTGGTCACCCCGTGGTGCCCTTATAAAACTCAACGTTTAACCTACTCACGCCGGCTTGTGCTCGCCCTCACAGTCGGGCATATTTGCGGAATACACCACGCCGCCGTTGACCCTGGCCATTGAGCGAGCAACCAAACGTTCCTACCAGCTCCCTCCGCCAGGAATGTGTTTCACCATGCCTGACAAATTTCAATTACAGCGAATGCACATCGCTTGAGCTACCAGATCTCTACGAGAACGAATGGATTTCACCACGGCTGACATATATCTCAATGTTCCCCGCAGCTCTCAATCTCTCAGGGCCACAGTGATGTCTGCAGACGTTGCAGCCGCGCTCATGAAAACCGAGTGAGTATTGCTGATGATGCTGCTGATGATGATGATGCTATTGCTGCTGCTGCTGATGCTGCTATTGCTTGTGCCTATCGATGCGAATGATTATGCAATCGTTGTGCTGTTGATACTCACCGGCGCTGCCTCTGTCGCCGTTCACGCCGTTCGTTTATTATTCTAATCAATGTTGACATTGATTTTGCCTTTACGTAATGTGTTCTATTGTGACACCGCGTGTGTTTTATTGCGCTGAATTATATTCGCTTCATTGCCACACTTTTGTTTGTTTGTTTTGTTGCTTTTGGCATTTTTTTGGTGACCCCACGTGGCTCCTGCAATTGAGACTCGTCCTGGTTTCTCGATTCCTCGCCTGGTTACAAAAAATCTACAGGTGCTATGAATGATTCACCGTGGCAGCGAGATGTTAACTACCTCGCCTGGTGTGCAGGAGGTCGTGGGTTCGATCTCCATCCTAACGCCTGCTGTATATTTGGAGTTTGCGTGTCTCTCTCTCTCTCTCATCATCATCACGGTGGCTAGGAAATGTTAGCTACCTCGCCTGGTGTGCAGGAGGTAGTGGGTTCGATCCCGATCCTGACGCCTGCTGTATATTTGGAGTTTGCGTGTCTCTCTCTCTCTCATCATAATCATCACGGTGGCTAGAAAATGTTAGCTACCTTGCCTGGTGTGCAGGAGGTCGTGGGTTCGATCTCCATCCTGACGCCTGCTGCTATATATTTGGAGTTTGCGTGTCTCTCTCATTATCATCACGGTGCTAGGAGATGTTAACTACCTCGCCTGGTGTGCAGGAGGTCGTTGGTTAGATCCCGATCCTGACGCCTGCTGTATATTTGGAGTTTGCGTATATCTCTCTCTCTCATCATCATCACGGTGGCTAGGAATTGTTAACTACCTCGACTGGTAGGCAGAAGGTCGTGGGTTCGATCCCGATCCTGACGCTTGCTGTATATTTGGAATTTGCGTGTCTCTCTCTCTCATCATCATCACGGTGACTAGGAAATGTTAACTACCTCGCCTGGTATACAGGAGGTCGTGGGTTCGATCCCGATCCTGACACCTGCTGTATATTTGTAGTTTGCGTGTCTCTCTCCCCGTGGTCGCCTGCATTTTTCTTCGGGTCCTCAGGGGTTTCCCCCTCCTTATTTAGAATCGTGTGTTTCGAGTATTTGGCTGCTATAAATTTCGACACGATAATCCACTTCGTTTGCGCGCAAGGCCCTTCTGACAAAAAAAAAATAGCAGCTCAGTGGGCTGGTAAAATACAATTAAGTTTTAGTGTATTGCTTCATACTCTTTGGTTCTTTCGGTAAAGTCACGTAGGTAGATCGTAGGTAGGTTCTAGATCGTAGGTAGGTTTTACCTACGCGACTTTACCTAAAGAACCAAAGAGTATGAAGCAATACACTAAAACGTAATTTTATTATGGATTCCTGAAGTCACGAAAGCTTCAAATCTGTATTGCATCAGCTGCTGTTTGTTCCCATCAATGCGGCTGCTGCGGCTGCTGCGGCTGCTGATTTAGTCGCTGCGCATGATGACGTTGCTGCCACCGCTGTGTTTGCTGCTGCCGCTGTTGTTGTGACATCCACTTCTGTTGCTACTGCTGCTGTTGTTACATCCACTTTTGTTGCTGCTGCTGATATTGTTGTTACATCCACTTCTGTTGCTACTGCTGCTGCTGTTGTTGTTACATCCACTTCTGTTGCTACTGCTGCTGCTGCTGTTGTTACATCCACTTTTGTTGCTACAGATGATGTTGCAGCCACTATTGTTGCTGCTGTTGTTGCCGCTACTGTTAATGATTATGCGACCATTGCTACTGCTTCTGCTACTGTTAATGATTATGCTGCCATTGCAACTTCTGCTGCTGTTGCGGCTGCTTCTGCTACTGCTGCTGCTACTTTGAATGATGATGCTGCCATTGCAGCTGCTACTACTGCTTCTGCGACTGCTGTTGCTACCGTGCCTGCGTCAGGCGCGGTTAAACACGTGCAGGAGGCATCACAGCCTTTACTGATGATGGATGCAGCGCAGGAGGATGGGAACTCGGTGGCGTAGTCGCATGGTGGGTGGGCGAGTACAAGTCCCACCCCCCTCCCAATGTGGACACTCTCTTGGCCCTCCTGTGTGCTGTCCCCTTCTCTTCGTCGAGTTTTCGGTTCGTGCCGCGCCTCGTTCGCCACGATTGCCCGACGTGCGGCAAAAGCGAATTCGGTTCCTGCGGGAGGCTCCTAGCGCGTAGAGCAAAACGTCGGACACCGCGCCAAACAACACGCGGCACGGGCGGATGAAAACAGGCCGGAGAAGGATAGATGGCTGGACATCTGTGGATACTGGACATCTGTGGAAAAAAGAGCTTTATAGCTTATCGGATTCCTCCAGTTTTAATGAAGATTCGGATTCTGGAACCTATTTTCTGCAAGGTCCGCTGCCTCAAGTTCAAATTAATTTATTAGGTATAGCCATGTGAGCCATTCGGCTCTTGAATCGGGTGCAACCGCAACAAACAAAAAACTTAAACATGAACAAAAAACATTTTAAAGTGAATATGTAACTGAGTGCAAACAGAAAATCCAAGAAAAGACGGCAAAATATTGCAGAAAAAAACACCGTACACCAACGCTGTGTGCAAAAATCCCAGTGGGATGCCTCTATTCGGCCACCGCTGAACTCTGCCCGGTATTTTGAGGACACGCTGTGAGTAGGTAGACCGAGGGGGCGTGGGGGGGGGCCCATGGCTCTCGTTTGAACACCAAAAAAAACAAACAACGGTGGCTCGTGCCCATGAAAGTCACCGCCGGCTGCGGTGACTTCCATGAAGGTTTATTGACTCTGTGGGCGCGCTCGGTGCTCGGAGTACGCCGCAGAGAGAAAGCCGTGACCCATCTATGATGAGAGGAGAAGAAAAAACCGACCGCACACAGACCTCCTCATCCTGTGCAAGCCGCAGCCTGCGCGTCCTCACGGCGAAATACCTCTCGCTCCCGCAAAAAAGGTTTAGTGGGGGTGCAAGCCAAAGGGTAGGCGGCTCATTAGCAGCGGAGGGCCCTTAACGGCTCCGTTGCCGTGGAAAACGTTACTTAAGGACGCGCGCTAAGACAACTTGCAGCGGACGTGTGAATTCCTGCGGAATTGTAAACTCTGCCACGGTCTACGGGACAGGGTTTCTCATTCCCGTCACTCTGCGCTCGTTCTTTAATTCTATCCCGGGTTTTTGTTACGGTTTTTTTTTATATACATAACCCCTTCCAGGGCACCGTTCGAATTTCAATCTGCCGCTACGCCGCGGGCTTTCTTCTTTGCGTTGTATTAGCACCACACGACGATTTAGGGTCGCGTGTTAACTTGGCCCTATGGACGACGCTGGGTAGCTTCTTGGGGGTGGTGGGGCGTGGGGACGTTGGGTTTTTTTTCTTTCAGCAAATGAATTCGGCTTCGCGAAGAAGCTGCAGGCACGCGGAGCGAAACGTCGGTACATCGTGCCCAATAATTCGCGGCGCTATCCGAAAGTCCACGGGAGAGAGCTATGATTAGAAGTTTAGTGAGCCGCAATATATATTGTTTTGTATCACTGAAGCCTTTGCACGTAGATTAGCGGATCACAAGATATGTTTTGAAACTCTCATGCCCACTGGGGTGCAAGGTGGCCTGAATATGGGACACGTTTTGCAGGGTGGAGGAGGGGAGGGCAAGCGAATTCAGGGTTCGGAATAGCACGTGGCGTGGACGTGTTGTAGTTGTGACGAGGAGGTTGTGATGGGTGGGACACGTGGTGAGCGAGGTGGTGGAGTAGGAGGGCAGGGCAGGGAAGGTCACCCATACGGGCATCAGCCTGGCACCCAGAGGTCGGCGACTCGTGGGAAGAGAAGACCTAAACCCAGTTGGTGGTGATAAGAGTTTAAAAAAACGATTCGGTATCGACCCAGTCCCAGGTCATCATCTCTTTAATAACCATTTGCCTGCAACTGTAAGCAGCATACATTCACACGATCTAGTCATATCTTGGGGGCTCTCAGCAAGCTTGAGCCTGGTTCGTGCTTGGATGGGTAACCACCAGGGCTAGCCAGACGTTGCAGTCGTGGGACGACGACCTATGGTCACGAGACGTCCGTGCCCCGATTAGCACGGCGCAAACGAAGTTCAACATACGTACATGCATACGGAGTGTTACCCCCTCGTTTGCGTTAGTCGCCTTTCTCCGGAGTCTCCGGTTTCCGCTCACACGAAGCATGACACACGCAAACCTTACTAATTGGCTGTGTCGGGTGGTGGCGGGTTTAACGACACATTTATATATTTACGCGTTCTAACCCAAAGCACCTGCACGATGGAGCCTGACACACATTGAAAGCATCGAGCAAACATCTCAACGCGACAGGGCTATCCTGAGCAATAAGTAATATTTGAAAATCAAACTTTTTAAAAACACGCTTTTATGAAATGTACTAGTAATGAAAGAACTCCACGACTCCAGCGAGTGGCCCCGAAGCTTGCCATCACGTAAGGGACCGTGGCCAATTACAGCCAACGTCAATTGACCCAAGTCGAAACATAACATATAAAAAATAATGTTTAAAATTAAATATTTTTTATGATAAAATATAGTATTGTCATCAGTATGACATACGTGTACCACGTTTGCAGTCGATACCACATTGGGAAGTGGGTTAAAATTGAATTACAAGATTTGAGGATACAACAACAACGATAACAACAATAGAGTGAGTTAAATGAAGTCACCCAACTATCATCACAATGCGCAACTTGAGCACGAAGTCATTATCCCTCCATGTTCCCGCAGTGTTAACACGGCTTTGACAATTATTCGAGGTCAGTAACGTCCGCCGTTGTGTTTCAATGAATACGACCAAATCTGGGCCTCGTCACAGCAACGTGGAATGTCCCCTCTGCCGGTTTAACAGAGATGCCACGGCCCAACGCTCCACGGAGCGTGGCCCTGAGAGGTTGACAACTCTGAACGACGCTTCCCCCGT